TGGCACAAGGTCGTGAGCGTGCCCAAGCGTCGAAAGCGGCTGCCGCTGCGAAGGCCGCCGAGGCCAAGGCGAAGAAGCGTTCAGCTTCCAGGTCGCCTCGAGGCTCCAGCTCCAAGCTGTTCATCGACTCGGAGTCTGAGGACGAGGAGGGTGCCGTCCACGAGCCCAAGGAGCTCTCCAACAACCTCGACGAGCAGCAGCAGCAATACCACGCTGCTAGCTCGGGTGCGTATGCCAGGCAGCCGACTGCCACGACTGCCATCGAGTCTTCTTCAGGCGGGGATGCCACGTACCCGCAGGGCTACTTCCCACCCGAGCCTGGCACTGGTGCGCCAGCGCTGTTGGAGAGCTCTCGGCTTCTCGTGGCCTTATCGGCGGGTACACCTCGAGGGGTTCCTATGAGCGTGCTCTTGTTGAGAAAGAGCCACTCTTTCTTGGCGACGTTGAAGCCGCCCGGTGTGTGCTGCTAGCACCACACAAGCTCACACTGATGGAGTTCACCACGCTTCGCAAGAAGCCGGAGGACAAGGGTGGACTCCATCCTGTGTGGGGTTTCCACTGGGTCAAGCCGAATGACAACATGACCTGGCGAGGTGGAAACCTCTTCTGGCGCTACGTCCAGCGCAAAGGGTATTCCGACCAAGAGTTCAAAGAACTCCGTGAGGATCGCACTCTGTCCGCAATCCTGGACGTGCGCGAGCTCCGCATCGAGTTCGCTCAACTCGTGAGCAAGCGCAAGCTCCACTCGAAGATGGACGAGCTGAAGCAAGAGGCGAGAGCCAAAACTCGTGAAGAGCGTGGGCGTGGTGCGACTACGTCTGCTACCGTGCCCCGGGTACCAGCCAAGAAGCCAAGGACTACTTACGAAGCTGCCGCTGCTTCTCGTCCCATATCGCAACAGCCTTCGGGCAGTCTGCCTGGAGCTGCTCAACGGGCTCCCACGAGTTATCCGACTCAGGGTAACCCCTCCACTTCACGAGCAGCTGGCGCTTGCCATGGAGCCGCCGCTCCCGGACGACTCGTTCCACGTGGTAGTGGATCTGCCCATTACGATCAAGGAGGGCCGGCGGTGGCCTCGCACGGCCATAGCTACGAGCCTGAGGCGACGCAGCCGTATGCTGGGGCCCCGAGTCAGGTGGTGGCCCTGCATCAAGAGGAGATTCGTCTTCTCCGGGACCGTGTGTACGTCCTCGAGATCGCGCTTGGCGTCGGCCTTGGTGGCGAGGCTGCCGCTCGTGCTGGTCAGCCTGGTGCCGTGGAGCGGCTCCGTGAGGATGTTGCCTCGCTCTATCACGAAACTCGCAGTCTCCATGGCCGTGTGGATCGTCGAGCCGACCTGTCGTCTTACGACTCGCTGCGAAACCAGCTCGCTGGCCTTCGGGCCGAGCTTCATGGCCACGCGCCGTATCTGGAGCAGCAGCAGCCCCACTCGTATCAGGCCCAGTTTGGTCAGGGCTCGTACGGGGCCCCTGCGTATACTGCTCCGATGTACGCCGCAGCCGTCTTACGACCAGCGCGCGTATCAGGCGCCTTACCGCGACTCGACGCCGCGCTTCGAGGAGCTGCGCTCTTCTCCACCGGGCCACCCACCGCTTCCTGCGGGGCAGCCAGAGCCAGAGGGTCATGGTACCTCTTAAGACGACCCACGTAAAACGTCGGGTGAGTCGTCATCGACTTGGGCAAGTCTATGGTATACGCCGCGCCATGCCGGCTGAGGACCGTGGAGGGTCCAATGAAGCGGTGCTTCAGCTTGTTGCTCTCGACCGAGCTAACAGTGTTTAGCGGTAGGTTTCTAGTATCTAGGAGAACTAAATCCCCAACCTTAAACACGTTCATGTTTCCTCTTCCATTTCGGTCAGAGTACTCCTTCTGTTTATCTTGGGCTTGCGCCATGGTGTCTCGCACCCTGCTGATTATGTTCAGCCTGTCTTCGGCAAACGAGGACAGTTGCTTCCGTAAGGTGGCTGGACTCACGTCCGAGACTTGGGAGGAAAAGTTTTCCAAGCCTCTCCCCCACTTAGGACCGAAGCCCCGGTACTGCCTCGTAATGTGAGCGGCACCTGAGGGTGGCGCAACCCGTTCAGGTAAAAGGGCGTAAAGCCCGTCGATGCATGTACCGCATTGTTGAGTGCGAACTCAACCATGGGCAAGCGATCAGCCCAAGAGCGGGGCATCTCCGCGCAGATACTGCGGAGCGTGTCTTCGAGCACGCGATTGACGCGCTCCGTCTGGCCATCCGTCTGCGGGTGGTCCGCCGTCGACATCGACAGTCGTGTGCCGAGAAGGCGAAACAGCATCTGCCCGAACGTAGCGGTGAACCGCGGGTCTCGATCAGAGACAATGGTCTCGGGCAGACCGTGGTGTCGGAAGACACAGTCCATGAACAGGCGAGCGACCTCGTCGCCAGTGACGGTGTCACGAACTGGAGCAAAGTGGACCATCTTGCTCAGACGGCACACGAAGGCAACAACACCAGTGTTGCCACGGTCATCGGCCGGAAGTCCGAAGACAAAGTCGAGACTCATCGACTTCCAGCAGTCCGCTGGGACCGGCAGGCTCTGCAATGGTGCCGAGGCGTGACCGGCAGGCTTCACGCGCTGGCACGTCTCGCACGTACGGACGTAGGTGGCGACCCACTTGTACATGTGACGCCACCAAAACATCTGCGAGACAGACGCGTACGTCTTCTCACGGCCGAGATGGCCACTGGATGGAGCGTCGTGCGCCTCCATCAGGATGTCGTACTTGAGATCCTCGTCGTTGGGCACGACAATACGGGGAGGATCCTCGGGCTCGACCCTATAGTGGAGCAAACCGTCAGCCCACTCATAGCGGCGCAGCCTTGCACGTTGTCGGGGCGTGAGCCACTCGGCCTTGGCTTCCGAGCCAGAGGCCAAGAACCGCACAAGAGGTTCGAGACTGGCATCGTCTCGGTACCCCAGCTTGATGCGATCATACAGATCCGTCGTGACCCAACTAATATGAGCAAGCTCGTAGTCGGGTCGGCGCGACAGCGCGTCGGGAAGCACGTTCAACTTGCCCGGCTTGTACTCGACACGGAAGTTGTATTCCGTGAAGAATGACAGCTAACGCGCCATCCGCTGTGAGAGATGCGGCGTGTTGACGGCAGTCCGCAAGGACGTGTGGTCTGTATAAACGACAAAGGGCGTCGAGCCCAGGAGGTGCACTCGGAACTTGACAAGAGCGTACTTCATGGCAAGTAGCACCTTGTCGTGGACTGGATAGTTCCGTTCGGCCGCCTTGAGCTGCCTGGACTGGAACGAGATGACCCGTTCGCGGCCTTCATCGTCGGCCTGCAATAGCGCACAGCCAATTGCGTAGTCAGACGCATCACAGACTACGCTGAAAGGCTTCGTCTCGTCCGGCAATGCCAGGACTGGCGCGCGCTGTAAGCTCGCTTTGATGTCGTTAAAAGCATCTTGATGGCGACGCTCCCAGCTCCAGTCGACATCCTTCTTCAGGAGATCCGACAAGGGCCGTGCCAGCTCGGCGTAGCCTGCACTATACTTGTGCAGGTAGTTGGCGAGGCCCAACCACTGTCGTAGGTCCTTCTGCGACCGAGGTGGCGGCCAAGCCGCGATGGTTTTCACCTTCTCCGGGTCCGCCCGGACCCCGGCGCTGCTGACGAAGCAGCCCAGGACCTTGATCTCCTCAGCTGCGAATACATACTTGTCGAAGTTGGCGTACAGCTTGTTCGCCCGCATGACTTCGAACACACGTCGAAGGTGCTGGAGATGCACCTCCATGGCCGTCTGGCCTGCCTCGGCACGGCTGTGGACGAAGATGTCGTCAAAGTACGTCTGTGTGAACGCACGCAAAGGTCGGAACAGTTGTGTGACCAAGCGATTGAACGTTGCCGGGGCGTTAGAAAGCCCCTGAGGCATGACCAGCCACTCCCAGAGCATACCGCTCGGCGTGCTCACAGCAGTGAGTGGGATTTCGCTCTCGCGCATCAGGATCTGGTAGTATCCGTCCACCAGGTCCAGCGCGCTATACAGCGTGCAGCCGGCCATGTTGTTGAGCAACACGTCCTTGCGCGGGATCGGTGTCTGCGCAGGCACTGTCGCGCTGTTCAGCTTGTTATAAGCATGAACCAGACGCCACTTTCCGTTCGGTTTGCGAACACAGAAGGTAGGCGTCGAGTGCGGGGACTTCGACTCCCGCACCATGCCTACCTTTGCCTTGGCGGCAAAGAAGGCATCAATGACTTCACACTGCTCCCGGGGAAGAGGCCATTGCCTCGTGACACAGTACTTCGTGCCCGGCACGAGATCGATCTCGTGCCTGATTCCCCTGTCCGGAGGGAGATTGGACGGTGGATCCTTGGACACCACGTCCTCAAACTCCTTCACCGAGGGGTACACCGTGTTCCGGGGGTTCTTAAAAATCTCAGAGCCCATGCGCGACGCGCGCTGTTTCTGGAACTCCTCCAGGACTGCCTGGTCCATGACCGAGGACGAGTTCAACTCGGCCGACGTGGACTCCGGTCGGAGGAGAACCAACTCTGCGATCTCCCCGGCCTTTAGCTCGGCCAAGAAGTCCTCCATGGCGAGCTCCTCAAGGTTCAGCAACTCTGAAACCTCGGGCAGAGCTGTAAGCTCGACAGCTCCTGTCTTGACCCGACTACCGGTCACGCCGTCGAAGATGTGATAACACTCTTCGGCGGCTGGAGCCTTGGCTGGAGGCTCGGAGTCGCTGGCGACTGGCGTCGTCGGCCACACGACTAGGCCCGGCTTACGACGTGACCCTCGGGTGTCTTCGTCTCGTGGCGCCGCCTTGACGGCACCACCGATCTTCTCGATCTCGTGCGAAACTACGTTACCCGCCTTGTCCTTGAGCGGAACTTGGTTACCCGCCTTGTTCTTGAGCGGAACTTGGTTACCCGCCTTGTTCTTGAGCGGAACTTGGTTACCCGCCTTGTTCTTGAGCGGAACTTGGTTACCCGCCTTGCTGGGTGGAACTATGTTACCCACCTCGCCGTGTGGAACTTGGTTACCCACACCAGGAGCGCTTCCAGCGACTCCCGCATCAGTTATGGTCTGAGTGACCTCCTGTGGAACTATGTTACCCACATCGGAAGCGCCTGCAGTGCCTTCCTCATCAGTTACGGTCTGAGTGACCTCGCGTGGAGCTTGGTTACCCACGCCAACGCCAGCGGCGCCTTCTCCAGCAGCCCTTGCTGCCTGCGGTACTTCGTTACCCGTGTGTGGACCTACGTTACCCACCTGGTAGGTGCTGTCCGGCACCTCCACTCTCAGGCCTTGTCCGGCCCGGTCGGAGTCGTCGTCAGTCTCGACGGACCCCAAGAACTCATTAGACGCTGCTGCGCCCTGGCGGCCCTCGCGGGCGCCCCAGCTGCTGCCAGAGGTGGGAACATGACTCACCAAAGCTCTGTCAGAGCGTGGGGGACGGCTGGCCCCGATGGCCTTGCCGCGCCAGTCGATCCAAGGCTCGTGTTTCTCCAGCCACGGCATGCCAAGGATCAAGTCGTACTTGTCCATGTCTAGGACCAAGAACGGCTCCGTGCTGTCGAAGTCCTCGAACTTGACAGTGAGGTTCATGTGGACCCGAGGTACTTCTACCACCGTACCGTCGGCCAGTCTTACCGAGACCAGCCCGTTGCCTTTGCTGCCTCGTAGCGCATCGGCGTACTTGTCGCGATTGCGTGCGACAGTCTGGCGGCGCGCACAGTTCTTAGACGCCCCAGAGTCGATCAAGATTCTCAAGGGATGATTGTATCCCGGTACACTCGCGTGCACCACAAGCAGCCCACCTGGCCTTCTCCGCTTCGAGAGTACAGAGACTCTCAGGGGCTAAGTCCCCATGGCGTGCGCCACCCGCACGCCCCTCATGAAGACTTAGTGTTTCCCCAGTAGGGCGCCCCGCCCCTACTGGTGTCCGGCGTTCCCCTGGTTCCTGGGGCGCCGCTTCTGCCAGCGACCCCTAGAGCCAAAGGGCTTCGAAGAGAACTTCTTCTTCAGTCCTCCCGCGGGACAAGCACGTTTCATGTGCCCAAGCTTGCCAAAGCCGTAGCAGCGAATGTCGCTCTGCTCGGCCATGCCCAGATCCATGGGAACCGGTCCGTTGATCGCTCCATTGCCGGAGTTACCATTAGGCGCACCGCCAGAGGCAGGGTTGCTCTGCCATACCGTGGCGGGGGTACGAGCCTGCTTGTGGCTGTACTCCTCCTGGAGGGCGATCTGAATCGCCTCCTCCATAGTGTTTGCTTGCACACGGAACCGTTGCGTGCGGGCAGGACCGACACGCAGACCGTCCATGAACACGGTCACCTTGATGTATTCAGGCAGGGGGTTCCCCACCAAAGAGGCAGTGAGCACTCGCATCTCCTGGATGTACTCATGCAGCTCGCGCCTTCCTTGTTTGCAGGCGAGGAAGCGCGAACGCTGGCGGTACTCGTAGTTCGCCGGAAGAAACGCGGCCCGCAGCTGCTCGCACAGCTGGGACCATGATGCGAAGCATCCAGGCGTCGTCGCTTCGCGCGTATACGCCCAACTCTTAGCGCGATCACTAAGGTTGGAGAGCGCAAAGGCGACACGGAGTCGCTCGTCCGAGACGAGAGCCGCGTCCATCGCGAGCTCAACCTCTCGAACCCAGAAGTGAATGTTTTCTCCTTCCTTCCCTTCGAAGGGGTGAACCTTTAGCCGCAGGGGCTTCGGTTGCACCGGCTTCGGCGCGGCTGCAGTGACCTGCAGCCCTTGAACGTGGGCGATGAGCCCTCGCTCGTAGGTGTCGAACGCGGTACGCTCAACCTGCTCAGCCGGCGTCGCCGCCGCTAAGCTACGCAGGGCATCTGTCCCAAAGTTGCCTGCCATCTTACGAACGGACTCGTACTGCGAGTCGTTCAGATGGGGAAACTCCGTACGATCCATCTTGGCTCACTCGATGAGACCACAGAGGATTCAGGTAGTCCAATCTACCCGCGTAGGCGTAGGATTGACTACAAGTGCTACCAAGTGTGACGGGGCACACAGCACTTCTTAACAGAGGAAGCAGGAGTATACAAACTCCAAGTGAACAGCCGTTCACGTGTCCCTGGTCTGAAGGGGACGACTTGACTTGAAATGCGGTAGATCTAAGACTGAATGTATTTATAGGTTGGTACAGATTTGGCCTGCATACAAATCCTAAGTTCCCTATAGTTTGTGTCATACAAAATGTATCTGTTGGGCTCTGAGGCCACTTGGGTCACTATCCAGGGGAGTGACCGATGTAGCCATCCCGGAATAGTGACAGGGTCACTATTCCATGTAACCCCGTTACAGTTGGTGTCTCTAATACCTTTTGGTAGAGGAGGATTTTAGTGGAATTACCACACCACAAAAACTTCCGATTTACCAAGGCCACAGTTTCAGCCGATGACGTTGCTGCCATGCGACTACGTATTATGTGGATGATACTTATGCAACATGAAGTGAGTACAATAGCGAACCAAGTAGCCAAGACCGTAGATGCAACCGACCTCGAGTTGATGGCAACCGTAAAGACTTGAATATAGCTCAATTGTGACCTCAAAGCAGTTGTATTTGTTATCGGCTTGATGTTTTCTTCGTGTTCACAACACGCGCGAAGTATTGGTCTAGTCTTGCTCGAGTAGAGCCTCGAAACACTGTTGCAGCATTACGCCGTACGACACCACGTAGCCGGTTTCACGCACAGACACCCCAAGCACCGTTGCGAGACGGACAGCTTCCTCCTTCTCGTTGGCGAGCATTGTAGCCAGCTCGTCGCGCTCGTTTAAAAGCTTGAACGAGTATTTGGCGATCTTGTCCAGTCTGTCTTCCATAGCCTCAATTACCTTGAGCCTAGACATCAACAGACCCTTGCAAACCTTCGCCCTGTGAGCTCGTGATAGACGCGTGCCTGCGTCGGTCGTGGGCGGTAGCGGTGAGGCCGGCAGAGCATCGCTGTTAAGGTCGCCTGGTTCCATCTTCTTTCACGCTTAGTGTGCACCAACAGCCGCTTTGATTCTACTGTGATATTCTGGAGTGCGCTCGGTAACTTTTGCAGTTTCCGTAATTAATCGCAGATAGATTACCGCAAACCCAGTTTTACATAGCAAGCACATACCATGCAACCTCTATGTTGCTTGGTGTGGTGTTTGCTATGTGGAAAAACCCTTGCTATGGTGCCGTAAGAGCTGTCGTCTTGTCGTAATCATGTTGGCCTGGCATGCGCTCTTGGCCGCCGATAGAAAACAGCCGCTGCACTGCACGAACACGGCCAAGGCCGCAGCGAAGCTCTGCAAACACGCATTTCGTTACATTCCCAGATCCAGAGGCTTCCCAAGGGAAAACTTGCTGTGCCGGGCCACGCGCTTTCGAGTCGAAGACAACAGTGTATACATGTACGAGTGACTGAGGGCTGTCGTCTAGGCGCTGCTGACAGGAGCTGGGGCAAATTCCACTCGGTTGTAGTGGAGCTCGCTGAACATGAGGACTATGGGCGGGTTGGTCATCGAGCTGGTATCGCGACACGCTCGCTGGAGCCGAGAGAGCCACTCGTCGAGTTTCGAGCTGGCAAAATAGTGCTCGTCCGCTGAGTCCAGCTGATACCCGCCCTTCACAGTTTGCTCAGGCTCGTAGACTTGGTAGCTGGGGGCCGCCTCCAGACCGTAGGGCACGATGATCAAGAAAATGGGTTGCTGCAGGAGCTTGGCCATCATGCGGAGGGTGACTTCGGTACCCCACAGCTCCGGGGATACAAACGCCGAGACTGCAGACGCCGACTGCGAGATGTCTTGAATGTATTCCTGAAACAGGAGACTCGACTCCTCTTCTGTCAAGGACGCCTCCAGCTCTTGATCGTCACCGGTCTCAAGTCGGTTGACTGCCAGAATGGTCTGTCGGGTGTCGTGAGGGAACTCCACGTCGAATCCGTGGCGACTCGCCTCGGCGATGCCTTGCTTCAAGACTCTAGTCATCTGCTCCAGCTCCTCGTAGTGCTGCGGAGTGTCGAAGCGCATGCCCAATAGAGCCATAGCGATCGCGTAGTATTGGCAATTCCCCGTGGCGGGAGTGGGGGCCGGCTGCAGTCCATAACGCGCAAAGACCTCTTCTGCAGTCATGTCGCTTTGAGGTGGTTCTTTCCACCGCGGATCGGAGCTGGAGGGCACGAAGACGTCGGCAGCATGAGCAAGAGTGCGCTCCACAATGTCACCGATGAGGCGCTGGTGCTTGGTCAGCGAAGCTGGGCGAGGAATAAAGGGAATCTCTCCTTCAGTCCCTGATTCTTTGCTGGATTGGGCTCGGATCGCCAGCCTGGACTTCTCACTACCCACCAGGCTGTCGTCGACATTCTCATACTCATTCAGAGTCGGCGTGCAGGCTTGGTGGGGGCTTTGGATGCTGTCGGTTTCGGGGGCAGGGCATACGCCACGGTTGGTGGCCACGGGAGCCGCTCTGATAGCGACGATGGAAGTGGCGAGCGCTAGGATGAACCAGGCGCTAACCATCTTGCACCGAGGCGAGTAACGCGCAGTGGTAAGCGCGAAGACAGCGTCCTATCGAAGCCAAAGCCAAAGCTAGAAAACGGGAGAACTCGATTTTGAGCTTGTGATTTGACGGCTACGACAGCGCTGTTCCAGGCTGAACGTACTGGTTGCAACGATGGTTGGAGTGGTCAACCTTTGGTTGGCGGTAACTCGGTGACCGGATCATGATCAACAATACCCTGAAGCTGTTCATGACATTGTGGACGAATGGCATAACCGGCAAATGGTAGAGTAGAACGGAAAATGAGAGCAGGATAGTGGTGTACTTAGTACTGCTTCACTGATTGAGCAATTGTGCTCGAACACGTCGTGATGCGCCCACGAAACACAACTGCACTGGGCTAAAAACCACATTCGCCCCCACAACATTACATGTCCGAGTACAACTTCCGGTAAAGCGACTCCTGCTCATGGCGCGCCTCGAGGTAGGCCGCGTGCGCTGACGCATCGGGGTGCGAGTATTCCAGCTGCGTGGTCTCCGCCGGGAAAGACCCAGACTCCTTGAGCGTGTGAAGACCCAAGTACGTTCCGATGAGCACCGCGAGACCTCGCGAGGTGGTTTCGGTAGCGCTAGCCTCGAGAATGAGCTTCTTTCCCAAACAGTCGGCGATCATCTGACGCCAAACTCGAGACGATGTGAGCGCAGTCCCGCTTACGACAACCGTCGCGTCCAGGTCGGCAGAGAATGCTAGCGTCGCAGTTAAACACGTCAGTCAGGCTGAGGGCATTACCGACAATCATCAAACATTCGGGTCAAGCACGTACCAAGAAGAGAAAAGAGCACGCCGATACGCAGCGCAATCGACTCCATGCCAGCACGCAGGAACTCGACGGGAGTCGTCCACTTGTTGATGCCACTGATAGTGCAGGTCGCATTTTCCAGCCAGCCCGGGGAGCGCTCACCGCTCAAAAACGGTAGAACGGAAAGACCATGCTTCGTCGGGGCGAGTTTCTCCAGCTGAGTAGTCAGGTCTGGCCACAGAACAAACAGAGTGAGACTAACGAGTCGGAGCACAGGACTTAGCGACACAGCCACAAATGGTACATACCCTCGTCGCTCAGACGAAGAGACTCGCGGAAGAACTTGTACACCGAGCCACCGTCGCTCAGTGCGCCACCAAGAAGAACCTGGTCTTTTCCAATACGGTAGCACCACAGACCCTTCGGAACCTTCGCGTTCTTCATGGCGTCTGCGCTCAGCACCACGCGAAGTGCAGCACTGGTGCCGATAGTCACCGCGATTCGCCTATGCAATACCCAAACGAGTGAGCAAAACTACGCCATCATACTACTAACAGTCTTCCAAGCACTTACGATGCATCGATGCACTTGGATCCAATGTTCGCGGCGGCGCCGTCCGAGACACCGAGGAAGAATGGCACGTTCGTCAGCTCCGGCCACCGCTTGGCATACGTCGAATTGAGTCCCGAGAACGGGACGGAGGAGTCCACCACCGGCGGCATCTTGCTGCTGTCCATACCAACGAGCTCAAGCAGCCTCGCATCCCACTGACTGCGTCGGAAGTCGAGCAGCCCCATCCACGACGCCTCGGAGAAGCTGACGGGCACGCAGCCATCCTGCGCTGCAGTCGTCCACTTGCCAATCAAATAGCCCGAGATGCTCTGCCACTTGGCGACACGCTCGACCACGGCGGATTCTTCTTCGTGAAGTCGCAGGAACGTGGCGGGCGCGTACGCCGGGTGGATGACCGTTCCTAGAACCAACACATGACACCGTCAGCCCCACGTCGTCACCACTATGGCTCACTCATTCGTCGTACCTGTGCGGTTGTGGGCCTCCTCCAGCTCTCCACGGGCCGCCAGCCTCTCCTGCAGCTCCTTCGCCCACAGCGCCGTCGCCTTCCTCCGGCCAGCGTACTGGAGTAGCAAACACCAACAAGGTCATCAGTTTCAGACCCCCCCCCCCTCTCTTCCCTATAGAGCCACCTTACCGTGTACACTGGCGTGGCAATATTCCCCTTAGCGTCGACGCCCAGCACGTTCATGGCGAAGGTGCTGAAGCCCACGCCCACGAGCTTCTGCGCGAGGTCCGTGGCGCGCAGGAAGCGCATCGTGCGGTCCAGAATCTGCTCCACCGTGGCGGCGATCACGGCCGCGTCGGCCTCCCCGTGGGCGTAGATGGAGCTCACGTGCTGCTGCTGCAGCGAGCCCTGGATGAGCGTCCACTGGGCCTCGGCCACGAGCGCGAAGCAGCTGGCGCGGATCGAGGAGCTCCCGACGTCCACGACGACGACCACGGGCAGCCCTCGGTACTGCTGCGGCTGCGCCAGGCCGCGCACGAACGCCTCGTACTGCAGACGCTGCTGGCGAGCGCGGTAGAGCCACGCGCAGGCCGCCGAGGACGCCGCGAGCAGCGGCAGGAAGAGCTTCATCGCGTGCTGCCGACTAAGGCTGAAGTTGGAGATTGACAAGCTACGCTACGCACGCGGATCAACTAAGTGCGTGCTAAGTGCGGGCGGCGTAGGTGCGCGTGTTAAACGTTAAGACCTACTTCAAGTATGAAATCGCAGGTTTATGCTGTTGCATGGGCGGCCGCACATCGCCACAAGTCAGTGTACACAGTACAGTACGCACCACAGACAGATAGCCGCCATGCTGAGCTCCCGGAGTCTGTCGCTGCTGGCGCCGCCGCTGCGCCGCGCCTTCCACGCGTCCACCGGGCGCCAGGCCATCCAGACCGTCAACGTGCCGTCCATGGGCGACTCCATCAGCGAGGGCACGCTCGTGGAGATCGTCAAGAAGGCGGGTGACGCCGTGCACGCCGACGAGGTCGTGCTCGTGCTTGAGACCGACAAGGTACCGCACAGTCGCCCTATCGTCTCCCTACGGCCTCCAACTGTGTATCATATAGAGATCTGACTGTAGCTGCTGCTGCTGCTGTCGTTGCTGCTGCCAGGTGAGCGTGGACGTGACCAGCCCCGTGGCCGGCACCGTCGTGGAGGTGCTGGCGCAGCTGGAGGAGAACGTGGAGGTGGGCAAGCCGCTCTTCACTCTGGACGACGCGCTGGCCCCCAGCGGCTCCAGCAGCTCTGCACAGACGACGACGACTGCTGCGTCGACGGAGGCGGCCCCTGCTGCTGCCGTTGCCGCCGCCGCTGCGCCGTCCGGACACCGGGTGCCCCTCATCAAGTTCCTGGGCAAGCGCTCGCTGCTGCCGCCCAAGCCGTCGCCGCTGTCCAAGCCGCTGGGCCTCAAGCTGCCGCCGTCCCCGCTGCGCGCTGTGCCCGTACAACCGTCCAGTGCCGACGTCCTGCCCTTCACCAGCGCCAAGCGACTGCCGCTGTCGCCTGCGGAGGTGGAGTCGATCAACTCGGGTCTCGCCTTCCTGTAAGCTTGTTAACCACGCGACGAGAGGCCGTAGACAGCTCTTTGGAGGAGGAACCCGACGCTGGTGGCAGTGGCCTGATGGGCGACTGCGCAGCACTTAGATGGAGAGGCACGGAAGTAAGTCCATTCGAGATCAGAATACACTTAACTCGCACGCATGATAGATATGGTTGGCCATGCCTGCAGCTTCGTCTACCTAGCAACGGACATCAGACAGAGACAACAGCAGCCTCCCCGAAGATCTCGTGCTGCGGGCACACGCCGCCTCCGATGGCCCACTCGTTGCACTCCGGCACAGTGCACTTCTTGCCGCCGCCGTGGGCTTTGCAGTAGCCTCCGCCGCGGTTCGTCTTGACGCACCCCTCCGTCTTGCAGCGACCTCCGCCTCCGTGGCGAATGCAGTGGCCTCCACTGTTGGCCTTGCGCGTGCACTCCGGGAAGCTGCAAGGCTTGGTGCCGCCGTGAGACTTGCACAGTCCACGAGACTGGCTCAACCGCTCGCAACCTGCAACAGTACACCGCGGCTTGCCGCCATGTGCGCAGCAACGGCCAAAGCGGATCTGTGTGGCAATTTACGCGCAAGCACCCATACTGTTAACGACGCCACACCATGGTGATGAATAGATAAACAAACAACCTCGTCACTTACCTGCTTCTTGGTGCAGTCCGGGAACGTACAGGTGAAGCCGCCGCCATGCGCGAGGCAGTATCCGCCTCCTTGGTCGTGCTTGTCGCACCCGCGACGCGAGCAGCGCTTGCCCGTGCCGCCGTGCTCCTTGCATCGGCCGCCGTTGAGAGCCCAGTTGCGGCAGTCTTCAGCCTGACACCGCTTCCCGCCGCCATGCAACTTGCAGCGACCACCGCCGACACACGGCGTCGTGCATCCTTCAACGTAGCACTTCTTGCCGCCGCCATGGGCGACGCAGAGACCGCCGCCCTTGTCCTTCTTGCCACAGCCCTGTACTTTGCAGAAGTAGCCTCCGCCGTGCGCCTTGCACTTGCCCTGGCCTCGATCGTACTTGGTGCAGCCTTCCACCTTGCAGCGCGCGCGTCCGCCGTGGCCGCTACACAGTCCGTAGCGGATCGCCTTCTTGGTGCAGCCGTTCACGGTGCAGTCACGCCCGCCACCGTGGGCCAGGCAGAAGCCCTGGCCAGCATCGTACTTGTCGCACTTCTTCATGGAGCACTTGCGGCCGCCGCCATGCGCGCAGCACACGGCCGACGTGCCCATCGCCACGCGCGTGCAGCCCGTGACCCCGCAGCGCTTGGAGCCGCCGTGGTCCGGACACGTGCGCAAGTTAAAGAAGGCGCAAAACGGCGTCTGGCAGCGGTAGCCGCCGCCGTGGGCGATGCAGAGGCCGCCGGCCTGCGCGAACTTGGGGCAGTTCTCGAAGCGGCACTGGTAGCCGCGGCGCTCTGCGGCGTCCGCATCGGCGTCAGCATCCACTGGAGGTTGGGACGGTGCTGCGGCCTTCTGACCGTTATCTGGCTGTTGCTCTTGCTGGCGCTGGGCGTCCGCTGCCGTCTCCTGTGGCTGCTGCGCGGGCGTCTGGACGCTCTGAGCCTCGACGCCGACGTCTGCGCTGCCTGGAACGGGGTCAGTTGCCTCCAATTTGGTGATATGCACCTGCTTCTCGCTTGGTGGTTGAGCCGCTTCCGCTGGGGTCGCCCTGGTCTGCGCGTCTTCTCCTTGGCCCCTTTCTCCTTCACCTGCTTCTTCTTCTTCTTCTGCTGCTGCGTCGTCCTCGTCGCCTCGCGCGAGCAGCGGCATGGCAAAGGACGGCGGCAGGTCCGACCCGTCCATCCCGTCATCGTCGAAGCGCGGCTCGCCCTCGGCGCCGCCGAACAGCGCGGCGGACGCCGTCGCCACCTCTCGCTCTTCCTCCGTCGCCGCTTCCATCATAGTAACGCACTTAACGGAAACAGTACTTGCAAACTTACCCCTTGTCAGCGAGCGCTGACAAGGGGTAAGTTTGCGAGTATTATTTCCGTTAGTGCTGCGTGCTACTACCAGGTAGCACAATATAGCAACCATGACGGGCATGACCAGGTGGGTCGGCGGCCGCGCTGGAGGCAGCCTGCAGCGCGCTTGCGGACTGACGGCGTCTCTCGTGGGTCTCTGTGTGTATCTGTGTGTCTGTGGCTGCAGAGTGGTGATCATCCAGGACGTCAACATCACGCAGAAGTACCAGGAGCTGCTGCGCAAGCTCGAGTCCATGGGCGGCGAGAAGGTCGGACGGCACGTGGTGCACTGCCGCCTCTTCAACCGCAAGACGCTCACGGGTGCGGCCTGGATAGCAGAGAAGGGAGCAGTGGAGGCCATGAGGCGTTGGTACTGACGCCTGCTGTGTTGTGCTGTGCTCGTCCGCTGCAGACGGCTACATCAACCAGCGCATGTTCATGCTGCGGATGTCCCAGAATGACGACCTGGTGTACGCCGTGCTGGCCAACGAGAAGGCGCACGGCCTGGCGCCCAGCGACAACGGCATCGAGGGGCTCATGGAGGACTGCTCGCTGCTCGAGTGCGGGCTGGACGGGGCCAACATCCTGCAGCAGGTCGAGATCTACGCCTTCAAGTCGGACGGACAGTTCGAGGTGAGCGCCAATGGATCATTCAGGCTGGACTTGGGTCGCTGACGCTTTGTGTATTGCATGCAGGGCACGCAGTACGTGGTGGGGGACTTCGTGGTGAGCGTCTGCACGTTCATGTCCCGCAACAACCTGCCGAGGGGGCTCATCATCGAGGTGCAGTACTCGCCGTGCTACACGGTCTCCCACGTGGACATGCTCATCGACGAGTTCCTGAGCAACTTCGCCTCGCACGACCACCTGCGCAAGCCCGTGGACAACATGCCGGCGCTGTTCGATAAGGTGGGGCTGCCGAACACAGAGTACAGCCTCAAGCACACGGCGCTGCAGTACGTGGCGGCCTTCAACATCCTGCGGAAGTTTGAGAAATAAGTGACGAACATGCAGAGCAGTGTAGAGCGCTGCAATTTAAGATTCTTCGTTGTGAGCACGACCTCCGTTCTGCTTCGTTGCTATCGAGTAGCTCTACCGTCTCTCGAAGACATGAAGGCAACTTGTACACAGGAAAACATGTATTTTGTGCAAGATATGCATATCCCATCCCAACTACTAAAGCCTCAACCGTGCAGCGTCGATCTAAGAGGAGGCGCTGGAGGAGGCAGACGGAAGCGCGCTGCCGCCGAGCGAGGCCAACGGACTGGCACCCGACGCGCCAGGCGCAGTGCCCAGGCACGTGCGGGCCACGTCGTCGAAGACCTCCTTGATCTCGCTCGAGCACTCGAGATAGTCCTGCTCCCAGAACTTGTAGCTCTTGTTGCGGATCAGCTCGATGAACGTCACCAGCAGGCCCCATGGGTGCGGGCGGTTGGCAATGAGGCGCTCGATGAGCACGCGCGTGATCTGCTCCTTGACCATCTTGTTGCTCGAGTACGAGAACAGGTACAGGATGACGCAGCTGAAGTAGTGCGTGTGGCTGTTCGGGTAGCGCAGGTGGTTGGCCAGCGAGCTGAAGTACCAGTAGCGGCCCTCGGTGTCCAGCTCGTCCGCCAGGTAACGGAACACATCCATGGCCGCGCTCTGCTCGAACTTGCTAGTCGTACTGCCAGCTCCAGCCTTGCCGTCAGCTCCAGGCGGCGTCGTCGGTGCACTCGCGCCCCCGTTGGCCATGTCTGCAATGCCCTCCTTTCCGAGGTAAACCACGAGCGCGTTGAGCGCCGGCAACGCGTACTTGCAGGACGTCGGGTCACGTTCAAGCTGAGCAGCAGGGCGCATCAACTTGGAGATCAGGTCTGCGGGGAACGCCGAGGCGCGGTTAGCGGACGCGTGCAGGAACTCGTCCACGTACTCCTTGATGGCATTGTGGCTGAGAGCAGCTCCCCACGCAGGCATGAGTCGTGGAGCCACGCTCACCTCCGGGAGCTGAGCAACTTGAAGCCCCAGCGTGAGCGGGTCAGGCAGCCGCATCGAGCGCGAGAACGCCGACAGGATCACGTTGCGGAGCTGCACGCAAGCCGCCGGCAGCACGTCGCAGAAACTCGTGTAAAAGTCGCTGAGGAAGTCCGGGTAGTCGTGCAGCAACACCAAAATGATCCGCACGACGCCCTTGTAGAGAGCGGCAATCGAGTCGGGCAGCGGAACCGCTGAGTTCGCGTGGCGGAGGAATGGTTCCATGAACACGAGCAGGTTCATGAGCAAGCGGTGCAGAATCTGCCAGCCACGCTGCTGCTTCGCACGCAACAACAGCGGCATGAAGCAGCGGTGCGAAATTAGCTCCGTCCAGGCGAACACAAAACCAGGAAGTCCAAGCGGTTGCAGCGTGTTGTACGCGCTGGCAAACGTGTTAAGCACTTGGAGGTGGATAGCATCCAGAGCCGGCTCCTGAGCCGTCAACTCCTTCATGAGGTTGACGAACATGCGGAAGAACACGCGCTGATCGAAGGGCGCCTTCTTCTTGCGCGACAGGTCGTGTGCTGCAACCAAAACGTTGGCAATAGCACCCACAGCGTGGTTCAACACCTGCAGCTTGGCAGCAGGCGAAGGGTCCAAGTACTTCACCAACAGCGCCATCAGGTGCGTCAGTGCATCCAGTACAGCGTAGTTCAGGGGAACCTTGGCGCCAGCCTTGAGCGCAGCAGGGTCACTTGCCGCAAACGAGCTCTTCAGGCACGCATCGACGCACAGCTCCGTGCCAAACTTGAAGAACAGCGAGACACTTTCGTCGTCGGCAAGGAGACCGTACTGCTTCAGCATCTGGAGGTACTGGGCATGCATCTTGGAATTGCCAGTGGGCTCCTTGTAGATAGCGATCCAGTGCTCCAGCGCGTTGCTGACAGTGTGCCGGAAAGCAGCGTGCTCCTGTACAAGAGGGCGTTCTCCGCTGGCCTTCGAAGCACCACTACCAATAGCGCCCATGCTCTTCTGCGGTGCTGGAGGGGCCGGGCGGTTCTGCAGCTTCTGGACACGGGCCTGTTCCAGCAGCGCGGCAAGAATCTGCACGTTCTTGTTTGCAGTAGAACCTCCGTGGCGCTCCACAATACGCGCAAGAGCCTCCAGAGTATTCGGCAGCTGAGCTGCGACAGCCACGTGCTCCATGATGAGGCATTGACGCACAACGTGCACCGCGAACTCGATTGCCACACTGTTACGCTCCATATTGCGCGCCAGGTACACGTCAAATTCACTTGCCTCCACGACCTTGTAGCGGATAAGAGCCACGATGATTTCACAGTGCAGCTTCAGCTTGTCATCCACTGGCGCGCGAAGCACCCAGCCAACGATTTCCTTGCGAAGCTTCTCACAGCTTGCCGTCAGTGCCTCCAGCGAGCTAACAAGAATCTCCAGGAACAGCTCGTTACCCCGGCCACCGTTGCCCAGCTCGTACATGAACTTCACAATTCGGTTCGCGATCTTAAGACATGCTTCGTCACGCAGCGCTGGTCGCACGCTGCCACCAAGCGCACGAACCTCTCGCAGCACAGCAAACACTTCGCTCTCAGCCGGGATAGCCAACAGCGACGGGAGTTCACGCTGAGCAGCTGCGGCCTGACGAGCCACCTTCTGCACAAACAGCTCGAAACGCTCCAGCAATCCAGCGAAGCGGTCCAGCGCTGCAGTCACGCTAACACCGGCAGTATCTCCTTCCTTGTCCACTGCACCTCCTGGGTATGCACCAGCACCTGCACGAGACGAAAGCGGCATGGAAGTCGGACGTGGGATGCGCTGGAATGCCTCGTAAACAACAAGCTGCATAGGCGGCACTCCACCCGGCTTGGGCTTGAAGACTTCAGGCAACGCAGCCGGCCAGTGGCCACTAGGCGCACCAGGTGAGCCTGCCGAAGCTGCCACAGCAGCGCTGCTTGCGCTTCCCTCGAAAAAGTGCACGCCATCAGCACCTGGCGCTTTGCCGGCCTGGGCTTGCTGCTGCTGGTAGCGCCGGCGCGACGCGTAAGCACCAGCAAGAGCCTCGTCAATGTCGCGCATGGCCTTCTCAGACGACGCTTTCTCAATAAGCATGCAGCCCAAGTCCGTGTTCTCGTTCGAGCACACCTGGATCACATGCTCTAGCTGCTGCGGGTCTCCAGCGCTGGTGGGAAGCAGAGCACGCAGGTGTGTGCCGATGGCATTGCGCAGAGGCTCCTTTGCCGTGATGAGCGCCAACGAGCCCGACATTGAAGCCACCATCAGGTGCGCAGCCTTGCGCATCTTCGTATCATCAGTCTCGGTAGCGAAATCCTTCAAAATCACCTCACGAGTAGTGATACACGCAATAGTGACGCTGCGCTCCACCACGGGGGAGATCACCTCGCGAATGGCGCGGTCCACAGCAAGAGGTACCAAGCGACGCAAGTTAACGTTGCGCAGCGGCAGCTCTGGGTTTACAGCGACGTACGAAGCCAGGTTCGGGATCACCGTCGACTCGGCAGCCGCAGCTCCACCAGCACTATTCGCTCCGAGCGAGCTGTAGCTTGCCATTCCCTCTCTTCCAGTCGGGCTACCAGCCGGTGCAGTCTTCATCGGCTTGCCTGGAGTCAGTGGCCGGCCCAGCTTAGAGCCTGCGCCAGGAGGCGGCGTGGCAGACCGCTGCCCCATCATCGTGTTCTTCGGGACCTTTACGTTGAAGTCCGGGTTCGCCGTGCGAGGTGGTGCACGTCGCGTATGCAGTAGCTGCGCCTTGCGTTGGTCCTCCACATTAAGCTTGAACGACTTGAACAGGACTTCAATCTCAAACTTTAGGTTGAGCTTGAGGTCGGGCACATCGTAGATCTCACTCATAGCATGAATAAGGCCCATAACCCACGGGTTAGGCGGCTTGAAGATCTTCGACTTCTTGCATCCCTCAAGAATCTTGGCCACGAATGGCGTCACAGCGATGAGGTGGCCGGTTTCGTAGCCCACGTAGAGTAGCTCCTTCAAGTCCAGGTCACGCTGCAGCAGAGGCTTGTTGCGCGCAAGAGTGAATACACCGAGCCACGAACCCAAGTTCTTTAGCAACGAGCGCTGCTGCGAATTAGTCGTGATCGTTCCAGATGTCAACAGCTTACGAGCGTTCTGAAGGGTACGCATGAGAATTTCACGCTCAAGTTCAGGCCGCATCAGCTTCTCGATGAAAATAAGGTACACGGTGTGGTAGTTCGGCTGGGTCGAAATACGTTTCACCACCAAGTAGTTCGCGAGCCACGCATGGTACGCAGGCAACAGCATCTTGCGCACTTCAGGGATCTTCGCCTCCAGATTCGAGATCGACATGTTGTTCACAATGAAGTGGATGCGGTCCTTCACGTTCTCATCGGGCTGCTCGACCACCTCGTTTTCGTCCACCTTGCTCGATTCATGGAAGATATGATCAACCTTCAGCTCCGGCGCAGGGGCAGCGGGCGGAGGCGGCGAGCCAGCTGGAGCCTTCGGCGACGGAGAAGTCAACGATGGTCCTGCCGAACGGCTCAAGATCGACGATGGGATTTGGATACCCAACCCGATGTCGTCCTGTGCCTTCTGCACGGATGGAGCGCGCGGCGGCGATCCAGCACCGAGCGTTGCGGCAGAAGCAGCAAGCCTCGAGGCACCTTCGCCCTCACCTGCACCGCCCAGCGGTGGCAGTGAACCACCCAGCGAGGATAATGCAGCACCGTTACCACCATTAGCATCCAATGAATTACCAGACAGCGCCATAGAGCGCGTAACTTGGTTCACTTGGCGCATAATTTCAGGCAGTGCATGCTGCAAATGCGGGATTTGGGACAGGTTCGTACAATACGCTGGAAGCTCCCGTAGCCTTGGAACGAACTGCTGCAACGCGCATGCGCCGAAAAAGAAGAACTTGGAGTTCACCGGCTCACGAAGACTCTCGAGCACCGAACGAAGCGCAGTTTGGAGGAAGTTGGGGGGAAGCACTTGGTGCTCAATCAACTTGCCGAAGAGAACACCAGTGATTCGCAGCTCCATCTCCGGATACCGAGGGAAGAAGCGGTACTCGTCGAAGAGGTTGTGGATCATGCAGTAGAAGATTTGCCGCTCGCGTTCATCGCGAGAGCCTTGGAAGCGCTTCAGCATTGCCACGACGTCGTTGATGTTTTGCTCCGACGTGTAGATCTGCTGGAAGTAGGCGTTCGCCTGCTCCTCGATCATTTCGGCCGTGTAGGTCGGCGCGTCGCCGCCGCCAGCAGACGACTCGCCTCCAGCTCCAACACCCGCAGCTGCAGCGGCTCCGGCAGCCATACTAGCGGCGGCCCCCGGAACGTGCGGGGATGCCTCTCCGGCCGGGCGTGTCGATGCGGAGATGACGGGGTGGGTCTCCATGCAGAGCGTGATAATGCGCTTGAGCTCTTGAGCGATAGTAACGGGTAGTGCCCCTTGAACCGCCATGATGCACTTAAGAATAGTCGCCAACGACTCAATGGACAGCAGGTGGCTCGACTGCGGCGTAATGTTGCTCTTGGGCACGGCGCGCGCGTAGTTGCGGTGCACGAACGCTAGGCACGACGTCGCAAACGCCGTCCGTTGCGATGCGAGGCGCTCCACCAGCCACGTCTCTAAGTTTAGCACGTCGTGGTTGGCCCCCATCGTTGCCAGCGCGAGCGCGAACGAGAAGTAGTTCGAGTGGATGGCGGAGGCGAAGGCGTCGCCCGTGTTGCGGAAGAGCGCGAAGAGTCGCGACACGATGTGCGGCGCCGTGGCGGCGTAGAAGCACTTGACGCTCGCGTAGAGCACGAGCTTGGGCGCCACGGACCACAAGTGGCGCATGATGAGCGGCGCGTTGGGGCGGCCCATGATGTACGTGCTGAAGAGCTCCGAGAACATGTCGTCGCGGAGCGCATTCCAGCGGGGCGAGGCCTGCGCCAAGTTGGCAATCAGGACATCCGGGCACGTCTTCATGGCTCCGTCCAGCAGCTTGCGCACGTCGCCGTAGCAGTCTTGCTCCGACACTTGTAGGAGCGTCTCCACAACATCAAGCGAGAACCACACACCGTTCTTAGGGACAGCCGACGCATCGGCGCCTTCAAAGGGCGCAAGCTTGTGCGGCGACTCTGAGAACGAAAGCACTTCGGGCGGTGCCTCGACCGCCGCCTTCAGGATGCTGATGTGCGCGCGGCTGTTCTTCCATGGTCGGAGCAGAGTCGTCACGCGGAACTTGGTCTGCGAGAACCGCTGGAACGCCGTGATGAGCACGCGCAGCTGGGCCGCATTCTGGATGTTCAGGTCGGCGCGGTCCAGCTTCTCCGCCACCTTGGTCCACTTGATGGAGCCGTAGTCTTTCTGCAGCACATCTGCGATAACCTCGAGGTCCCAGTTTTCCCGCACTGGGGCTGCGGCTGCCGAGTCCGACGCGGTGGCCTCGAAGTCAATCGTAAGGTTCGCCATCAGTGTTGCGCCGTTCTCCGCGTCCAATCCCGTGTAGGTCCGCGATAGCATGGCCAGCATACCCGCGACCTGGGCCGGCGGGATCGTGGGCGCCTTGGCAAGCCCGGCCTCAGCCAGCAGCGTACGGAAGGCTTGAGGAGACGACGTGCACGAGTAGCCGACGTCCTCCATCAGCTCGTAGAACAGGCAGCTCGACGACACGTCCGAGATGAGCTTGCTGAGGGCGTCCGAGTCCGTCACGGGCTCGCAGTCCACGTGCTCGGGGTCGCCCATCGTGAGCGGCGCCATCTCGAGCGAGCCCATGTCGTTCGGGTGCGCCGACGAGATGCTGGCGAGGAACGAGTCCGTCTCGGCGATGTCCTCGTGGAACTCCTTCTTCATGCGCAGCACGAAGACGAGCGAGTGCAGCACGTCGGACGGCAACTTGGCGCCGCAGGACGAGATCTCGGGGATCTTGGTGCGCAGGAACTGGATGGCCTGGGCGGAGCTCTCGGCGTTCTCGCCCTGGGCGAAGGCCAGGCCGACCGTCACCTGCTGCGGGAGGCTGAGCTTGAGCGTCTTGCAGAAGAGCTGCAGGAACTCCTCCGTCACGAGGCGGGCACTTCCATTGGCTGCGGCATCAGGCGAGCTTCCTTCGATCGCCTAGAGTAGTAGAGCACAACAACAACAACAATAATTGTCAGAAATCACAATAATCATGCTTCGAGAAAGGCACAGGGAGGGGGCTGGCCTCTACCTCGCAGATGAAAGTGGTGAAGTTGGGGCGCGACGAGGCCTGCGCGACCTCGTGCGTGAGCAGCTGGATTTTGAGCGCGTCCTTCTGGCCGCGCGCGTCGCGGAAGTCGATGTCCTTGACGAGGCAGTTGAGCAGGAAGATGCGCGCGTCCTCTCCGTAGAGTTCCACGAGCTGCCGGCAACCAAGCACAGACATAGACACACAGATACACCGACACAGTCAGCAGCCAGCTCGGAGGCCCAGAGGGGGAGCGCGCACAGAGCGAAGATCGGCACCTGGTTGAGCTCGGCCACGTTGGACTTGAAGTTCTTCTTGCTGAGGTTCGTGACCAGGTAGTTGATCTGCCAGAACAGCGGCGACGCAAACGACACCATGCTTGCGGCGCGGTCGGGTCCTGGGCGGTGGGGCGCGGGGGGGGGGGTCCTTCCTCTCGCGGGCGTCTTCGGGCGGCGGGGCTTCCTCTGCTGGGGGCGCGTTGGCGTTTGGCTGAGGAGCTACGCGAAGGGGGAATGGGGAGATCGCGACGAGTGATTGGCCGAAAGATCGTGACACCATTGGTCAAAACTCAGTCTCCAATATTGCCAGGCAGGATGGCGGCCGCGCTCCACCTCGACGCGGCGCCCGAGGCCGGCGACTTCTTCTTCGGCAATGTGCTGGGCCAGGGCTCCTACGCCAAGGTGCGGCGGCGGCGGCGGGACTGGCGCTTTCCGTCTCTCGCATGATGCGCGGAGGGACTAGAGGAGTCTGACGTCTGTGTATGCATGTATCTATTCGGCGGTTGTGTCACTGCTGTCGCTGCTGCTGCAGGTTTTCCACGCGCAGATGAAGCAGAACCGCATGGACTTCGCCGTGAAGGTGATGGACCAGAGCTTCATCCGCAAGGAGAACAAGACGGCCTTCGTGCTCACGGAGCGCAAGGTCATGTCGCGCCTCACGCACCCGAACATCGTCAAGTTCTACTGCAGCTTCCGCGTAAGGCAACCAACCTCTTGGATTCTGTGCTGCTGCTGCGTGCCTCTGCTGGACTGCTAGTGGCTGCACTTGCGTCCGTGGGCGGCACCGCAAAAAGTATCCATCTGGTCTCCTCGTCTCATGTTTTGGCGTCTGATTGTGGGTGAATCCAGGACCACCACAGCTTGTACCTGGTCGTGGAACTCTGTCGCGGCGGCGACCTCTTTGGGCTCATCAGGTGAGGATCACGTTGGGCGTGCGTTGTTTTCCGTGCAATACAATGGAACTTGCTCCCTGACTTGCAGTTGTCTGCCCCGTGGCCCCTTCCAGCAAAGAGTACCAAAAGCAGCAGGAGCTCGGCGTCTCGGACACTGCGTGCTCGCTAGAGCTGACGCGGTTCTACGTGGCGGAGCTGGTGAACGCACTTGAATACATGCACACTCAGGTACAACGGGCAACGCCCTGCATCTGTGTCGTATCATGGCTCTAACTACAAAGGATCCTGCTGCAGCATGTCATCCACCGAGACATCAAGCCCGACAACTTGCTCCTTAGGTACGGCTTCGCTGCATTTGTTGGCGTTTGTTGACCCTTAATGATTGTTGTTTTCTGCTACCATTCTTAGTGAGGATGGACATCTGAAGGTGACGGATTTTGGCTCCGCAAAGGTGAGGCACTGCTGAAGCTTCGTAATGACGGCAAGTATACCCGTGCTCATATTTGCTGGTAAAAACAAATGCAGGATCAAGACTGCGAGAGTGGCGAGGTGTGTCAGTTCTGTGGCACGGCTTCCTACGTTTCTCCGGAAGTTTTGCACGACAAGCCGGCTGCGAGAGCAGCAGATCTGTGGGCATTGGGCTGCCTAATTTTCCAGGTAAACCACAACTCGAGGCATACACGCAGTTGATGTGAACCTCTAAATGATCCTATGCCCACAGATGTTTACTGGCCGAGCACCATTCGTTGGTGAAAACGATTACCTGACTTTCCAAGTGGTAAGAAGTGCAATTGTACCTGCAATATTGATGCTACTCCTTCTAACGTGGCGCTGAAGATTATCAACCACTCGAGCGACGAGTTCGAGTTTCCAAGCAGTGTGCCCGAAGCTGCACAGGACCTTATCCGGAAACTTCTCGTGCAGGTAGTAAAGCTTACAAGCTGCTTCGTGTGCAAAAATGCCGACTCTTCCTCCTGGGAAACCGATCTTTTAAGTTAACCCCGTCGCATTGCACAGGACCCCGATGAGCGCATCGGTGCACAGCAAAACGAAGAGGGCTACGCCGAGCTGAAGGTGCGTTTTCTTCTCACGTGTGTTGCCCAACAATATCTAGGGGTTTAACATAGATGATCATGCAGAACCACCCGTTCTTCGAAGGCATCGAATGGGATGACCTCGGCGATCAGACTGCCCCGTACAACCCTCCCGAGCTCGTTTTGCCTGAGCCGAAGCTGGATGGTGCATCGGAGAACTGGACCGTTGCTGAGTACTTTTCGGACGATTTCTCAGAGAGCACCTCGAGCGATTTCAGGTACTGTTGGCTGGCTGATGTACTAGGTTCTGAAAGATAGCAGTGGGTCCTTACCGTCATGTCGTTGCTGGTTTTGCTATACGCAGTAGCAAACGTTCGCGTAGCAGCAGTTCACTGCTGAAAAATCGGCCAGCTTGCATCGCATACGATGAGCAGATCCGGTTTGAATCCACCGTCAAGGTCCACTCCAAAATGTTCAGCCGGACTCGTGAGGTGCGTGGGGTTCCCCATGTTTCAGAAGGTGCCTGCCTGCGCGTGTTAAAGTGTCAGCCACACTCACACCATGTTGTGCATGTCAACAGCTCTACCTCACAGACGCCCCGCGCTTGGTTGTGATCAGCTCGTGGTCCGGCCGCTTCAAGCGCGAGGTGTTCCTGACGCCTGGCACCACTGTGAACGAGATCGACCCCCACACGTTTGACGTTGTATCGGTGCGTAGCAACCGTTAGCTTTGCCTACCTCTTGGTAACACCAACTAATAGCCCCTTCCTGTCTGCGCAGCGGTCAGATACGATCCGAATCACTGACTCCAGCAACCTCGCACAGCAGTGGGCGCGTGCCATCGCGGAGGCTGTCTCGGAGTAGAGCAACATCACAAAGCAGACGCCCCAAACCCAACACATGTAGGCGAGGACACGGGTGCACACTGGTGCGATCTACAATACAGCAGTCACGTTAGTATCGGCGCTGATTAAGAGACAAGTGTCTTGTTGAAATGGACGTTGAAGTGAAAAGTGTATCCATTTGTGTACGATTGGTGTGGTACAACTGTCATTCCGCAACCCAAATGCGCGAGCCGATGGAGGCCGGCGGCGTGCTGGACCTGCTCAAGCGCCTGCGCTGTCGCGTCTGCGGCGAGTCCCGGAGCGACCTGCGACGCGTGCTGCCCGTGTACGAGCGTCTGCTGAGCCCCGTACGTCTGTCCAGCCCAATGGCGTGTGTGTGTGCTTTGCTCCCTGAGCTGACGGAGCTTGTTGTGTTGCCAGCGTGAAGACGCCGCCGTGTCCGTGCAGCATGAGCTGATGGACGTGCGCGCGAAGCTTTTGGCGTGTGGCGGCGATGCGGACGTGTACGTTGCAGCAGGATGAAGGTGGCTGGCGCTGGTGGTGGCTCAGCTCTGAGGGTGGTTTGCCTTTTAATGTGCAGGACGGACGTCGTGGACCGCATGGACGACGCGGTGGAGCGTTGCATGAGCCTCGTGGAGGAGCAAAAGAAGATGCCGAGTACAGAGGCTGCAGGTGGGGGAACAATCGATGTGGTGGAAGGGGGGAGTGAAGCGGGGACTGATGTGAGTGTTTACTTGGTGGGGGACAGTTCCAGTCGAAGAGGTGATGCGGCTGCTAGTGGCACTGGCAGGTGGAGAGGATGGAGACACCTTCGTCCTTGAAGATCCTATGAGGGTGGAGTTTGACAAGTCGAGAGCGGTGAGGCAGGACTGATTCCGTGTAGTTCGTGTGCTTCATAACTAACTGGTGCTATTGACGTTGTTCGCTGCCCCTCATGCCAGACGCACAGTGCTGGGAAGACACGCATTGGCGATCGCATCCAGATGAGCGATATTGGACTGGTGCACCGCTCCAAGGCGCTGTTCAACAAAGCACCGATTCCGATGGAAGAGACAAAGTGAGCAGCGCCGCGGCTCTTACTTGCGTGGCCAGCTATTTATCATATCGGTGTGTTGTGGCTTTGCCTAGGTTGTTTTCACAAAACCTGTTCAGTGGCTTAGGCAATGGCATCTCGCACCAGCATACCAGCTTGTGGTGCCCCGATGCTCAGTTAGGTCCGACTGAAGAAGAGGGATTTTTCAGCATGATGCCGATCCAACAGGTATGTGAATGGTAACGCAATGAAGAGCTAGATGAGAGTAACTAACGGTGAACTTGTGCGTAGCCGAATCGTTTCATCGGAATATCTCCTGGCAGCCCTCCTGATCGAGATGGTTTCGGTGACATGTCGACGCAAGCGTACGCAAATCATAGCAGCAGATCGTTTTGAAGTGACGGCCCTTGGATGGCTAATATTGTGTCTGAAGCAGGTATGACGCTGGAAAACGCCTTCGTGATAAACGTGCGTCGAAGACTGATGCATCATCACTCATGGGGCTGACTTCTCGAGAGACCAAAGAACAGTTGTCGCCGAGCAAAGATGTTTTCTTTTACGATGGCACTCAACAAGTGCATTGCGGTGGACGGAAGGAGCTCTCGGAATGGGGAGAAGCTAGCAGTATTACGGAAAATTCATCGTGGGGCTCTGAGAGCTCATTCGATGAGACAGAACCGTGGGTAGCGCGGACGTATGCGTGGGAAGACCTGGGGGATCGTGTAGGGCTTTCCGAAAGATACTGCCGGCCGCCGGTTCTGGGTGAAAAGAGATCGCTTAGGGATATCGCTATACCCACCCATTTCGATTGTGGAAGTCATCCGGATGGGAATCCGCTTGAAGCTCACGAATTGGACGTAATTCAGGTTCGTCAAACTCAATGCGTTGTGGTGAGCTTTTGATTGCGACTAACAACCGCCGTGAAATAATGATCAGGACTCGCTGCGAGCACTGAGCGGGGTAGAGTCGACAATGTACCGACGGGATTTCCCGTCAGCGACGTTCCAACTGCCTAAAAAGCGCAAGTTAAAGATCCGCAACGCAACAATTTCGGCTACGACATCACTGTTAGAGGTACGCAATGCGACGTACGCTGTGGACTCGCGGGATCTGACATGCAAACACGCACTTCTTCTACAGTTCTTTTGTAAGGCTGGAACTATGATGATGCGGCTGGAGCTCCTGGCTATCTACTATTCTCAGGACCCCACACGAGGGGGCAAGACGCTTCAGGCCATGGGCGATGCGCTCCTGATGTATCTGTCGATGCACCGGGTAAGATACTTTTACGACGATATCGTTATTGTTGTCCTTGCAATTCTAACGCTGTGTTGATACTAGGCATGTGTAGACAGTATTGCGCAAGAGTGTGCAGATTCTTTTGGTGATGACGAAGAGGATGAAGATGTATCTGTTACAAAATTACTATGCAAGACCCGGACAGTGCGCCGCGTCCTGGAGGGGGTTGGCCACTTGTTTACGTGCGCTGAAGACCCATTCTGGCCGCTGCTACAAAAAGGTAGTGCTCCTACTGTGTAACAATGGATATGCTTGCTCAGTTCTTTAACATCTAACGTGCCAATTGTCATCAAGGTGAATTTCCGCGTGGGATTGCGTTGCTCGACCATCTGCATCATCACGTATCATCTTTACGTGTGGAAGATGCCGGTGGCTGCATGCAAGAGGTGGCTACTTGGTTTCTCGTTAAATCGTGTTCAGCGTTGATGGCGGCACTTTCAGATCTCATTGCATTCGGGAGGGTGCGTGAGGACACGGATCCATTCGTACGTACAATAGCTCAAGTGTGGGGTAGAATGTGGAGTCTGATCTGACAGCGCTCTTGTCGAAAATGCTAGGATGAGTTTGAAGTGACTACGTGGAGCAGGAACTTACTGGAAAAGGCCTCCGCAGGCGGAGGCGACGGGTTATTCGGCGAAAGTGTTTCGACCGAAGTCACCAAAATGCTGCCAGAGTTTCTGGAAACCACTGCCCCACTGGTAGTTCATCTGAGTCAAGTTCAAGCACTTCTCCGCAGCGTGAATGCTATTACGCTGTCCCATCCGCTGGTACAGTGTATCTTTTTTTAATGATTGAGGATCCCTTGTATTTTGGCTAACTTCCACTTGTGCCTACCTCAGGTTAACATGAGTCCATTGATCATGCTTCATCGCGGAGATAAAGCCGTTGCTTATGCGGAAAAGTGGGAATCCACGATTACTGACGCTATTGCATCAGTGAAGGACACTCGTGCTAATGATGTCGAACCCGATCAAAGCCTGCAACATGACGAGTGTGCTTCCACCGACGAGAATTCACGGGTAGATATTTTGCAGGAAATGGTAAGCGCGCTTGCCTACTCACATTCAACTGCATTCAAACTAATCTGCTGTGTCTTGCTTGCGATAGAACGATGCGAAGCGCAGGTCTCAGTTGGAGCAGAAGACCATGTTGGATCAGCAAGTGCTCGATAAGCAACAACGCAAGCTTCAGCTAGTGCAAGATGAGGAAGCCGACGATGCGATGCGAATAGCGGAAGCAAACCGGGCTGAGGCAGATCAGGAGGCTTACGCCCGTGGTGCTCTGCTGAACAAGTACGCTGCGAGAGGACATCTTCAGTGGGAGCACCAGAAGCTAACATGATTTCGCATTGATTCCCTGATCTTAGGTACTCGAAGCTGATGGATGCGGCAGAAGAGCGACATGATTACATGAAGTGGCGCCGAGATCGTGCATTGCGCTTGTCAACCGCAAGGGACCAGCTCCAGCATCTCCACGCGGATGATATAGCTGAGTGGACAACAGGTGCTTATGAAAACGCATTTGGGGTAAGAAGATGTTTCCGTAGCCTGACGGTTCGACATGGACAGGCAGGGAACAGCGGCAGAGCGAAGACCCAAGCTCAAGTGCGCCAGAAGTGAGCGCGAGCAAGTCGGCGCCAGTGGAAGAAGAGAAATGTTTGGCAACAGCGACTGCGGACGAGCCACCGGTTTCGGTATCAACCTCAGAGTGGAGAGCATCTGTGACAGTAAGTCAGGAAGCGGGAAGCCGCACCTCGGGTTCCAACGACGATGGCGCCTGGAGAGCTTCTGTGAAAGTGAATAGAGAGGCCGGATCTCGGACTGCGGCCACGACTGATGATGGTGCCGGGAGAGCGTCTGTAAAAGTGAATACGGATGCCAGTAGGCGCACCGCAGCATCGACAGATGAAGGTACCTGGAAAGCTTCAGTAAAAGTGAATAAGGAGGCTGGCAGTCGCACCTCGGTATCTTCTGATACCGGTATCTGGAGGCCGTCAGTACAAGTAAACAAGGAAGCTGGCAGCCGCACCGCGCTATCCACTGATGAAAGCAATTGGAGAGCTGCGGTGAAGGTAAACACGGAGGCAGGGAATCGTAGTTCGGGTGTACTCAATCACGAGCCACCCTCCGGCGCCACTGTTCATCGAACTGGTGTCCGTGTTTTGAATGAACCTGGAGGAAGCGGTGCTGACGTATATGGGGCTTTGTACGGTGGCATCAATGAGGAGTCTACCAACAGCAGCCAAGACGAAGGCGTGCAAGTAAAAGGTGGAGATGATGTTGTACTGGCAAATGCAACCGAGGATGTAGAGATGGTTGATGGCGAAGACTCATGTGAGGCCCACGCAATGTCTCCTTCAGAAATCAATGGAGATGGAGACGTTGTGATGCAAGATATGGCTCAAAAAGGGGAGTATATTGCTAGTCATGATAGCGATATCGGTGGCGAGGTGTTAGCAGAAGCTGGGGAGCTCAGAGAAGCTGAAAACCCACCTTCAGCGTCGACTCGGTTATCCCTTCCACCAGTCCATCCTTTCTTTTCCGAGTCAACCTCTGAAGAGGATTCTGAGGTGCTGGTGCGCGCGCTGACGCAGGTACTGTGATACGTGTGTCGTGTTTGAAAACTGAAGATAACACTCTTTGTGTTTCATCCTTTATCCGCTTGCTACAGACAGCAGGCTCTTATCAAGATGATTTCAATTCGTTCAGGTCGATCGTCAACTGCTGCGTTGAAGTACCTGTACGCCTTGTCGCCGACAACCTCGAAAAAGTGGCAGTGGATTGGTTTCGTGAGTCGCTGCAAGTTGTTGAGCACCTTCGATGGCTGCGCAAATTGATGCTCATGTCAGAAGGGCTTTGCATGGACATCTTCGCGCGTGACTTCCTTCTCGGCTTGAATTCGACCACTCGAGTGAATTGGGGAGTTGAGGGACGACTTACATCGGCTCTCACTCTGGCTATGATCGAAGGATCTGTGGCTTCGAATGCCATTGTGCAGAGCTTTCACTACTCAACCACGCCTGCTCTCGCTGAAGGTACGCATTCTTAAAGTCAAGTCTGCTGAATGTGCGGTTCTCATGCGTCTTTCGTTGTGGAAACCCAGTATTAGACAGTTTAACGATGACCCCAGCCGTGCCGAGACTTGTTGGTGAGATTGAGCTGGTGTACGACGTCAAGTGGCCTCTTGGCTTGGTGATCACTTCGCAATCACTGGATCACTACAAGATCATGCACCGATTTCTGCTTCATGTGCGACTGACATCGCTGGAAGTGCGGGAGGTGTGGTCACTCCTCCGCTCTATCCGCCAACGTGGACATCTGTCTCCGATTCTTGAGCGTTTATGCGGGGGTGTTGTCTACAAGATGCAGGCTCTGCTCCAGGCTTTCAACGAGTCCTTTGCGACGAAGGTGCGTGCTACTTCCGTGATCAATGAGCCCGAAATCGAACATGATGACCAAACATTTCTGCATCGCTGCAGGTCTTAATGTCGGCGTGGTCGGAGCTTGAACACTCGTTGCAGAAGTCGACAATGCTCACGGAATTACGGCGCCACCACGACGACTACGTGGCTGTTGCACTCCGCTGCTGTTTCTTGGACTCCTCAGAGGTAAGCAACCACTAAGATATCGCATATTGTTCAGTATCTCGCTCACGAAGTAGACTCTAACGGGGCACCACAATTTGCGCTGCAGGTTCACTCGGCGTTCCTGGGCACCTTGGCCGCGGCTTGGAGTTTGATGGCATTCGTGCGAGGATTGGACCGCCAAGTGACTGGAAGGGCGACTGAAGAGGCTCGAATCCGCGCGCTGTGTGACGAGTACGACATCGCGCAGCGTACACTGGTCGCACGTCTACAGAGTGTTTCACGCGATGCAGATCGGAGTGCGAGGGAGTTTTCAGAGGTACGTGAGCTTCCCTACAACACCTGCGCATGCACGCTCGACTCGAGGTTAAGGTTTTGTAAATAGCGGCTACCGCTCTAATGTGCTGACTTTTGTGCTCTGTCTGCTTACCGCGTGCTGCGTAGTGTTTTCTACTCCGGCTAAACTTCAACGACTACTACTCCACAGGCGCCGGTCCAGAAGCAGCAGCGACAATAGGCGAGCGAGTGGGCGCCAGGAGCTGGATGACGATGTAGTCGCGGGATTCTTCTACCATCGAGCTCGTCGAAATAAAATATAAACTGACCTGGAACAAGCCAGCCGTCGCGGGCGCGTGCGCGTGCGCGTCCCTCCCCTCAAAAGAAGAGCCGATGTGTGTCCTTGGGGTACAAACGACGTTGGCACAGTGGGCACTTGCCGCTCGCGCGGATTGCTTGGTGGATGCAGCCGCCGCAGAAGATGTGGCCGCACGTGGTGGACGTGATGTCCTCTATCACATCCAGACAGATGCTGCACTTGAGCGCGGCCTTGAACTTCTCCAGCTGCTCGTTGTTGTGCATGCTCACGCTCGTGGACTCGGCGCTGTGCGTGATGTCCGTCAGGTGCTGGCGCTTGGTCACCGCGTTCCCCGGCGCTGGCCGACGTCGCTTCCGTCGCAGCGGCGCCGGCGGCGGGGGCCCAGAGCCCCCCGAGACTTCCACGATCTCGATGATGTCATCACTGTCTGCTGCATCGGCTCCGCTCGCGCTCGGGCGGCTCTGGGCGTCGTCGCCCTCGTCCTCCGAGGATGAGACCGTCAAGTCGATCGACACTGGCTGCTGCGTGGGGCCCGCGCCCGAGTCCGCGCCCGAGTCCGCGCCGCCGTCGCGCTCGTAGACGTCCTGGAAGTGCACCATGTGGGGCAGCACGAAGTGGTCGCGCGTCGGGGCCCAGTCGTCGTCCGAGTCGTTGAGCAGGTTGTCGAGCGCGGCGCCGCTCCTGCTGCGTCTGGATGATGCGTCCCCTGCTGCGTCTGCCCTGCTAATGTTGCTGCTGTTGTTGCTGGGGCTGCTGTCCGCGGAGGACGCGCCGAAGCGGGAGGCCAGGAAGCGGCTGGGCAGCGTCATGAACTGGTTCAGCGGCGGCAGCGCCCAGCCACCGCCGGCTGCGACGGGAGGGGGGGCGGACGCGCGGACGCTGCTGGACTGGGAGAGCGGCGCGGGGGTCAGCACCACGCCCTGCCGTCGCATCTTTAGACTGACTGAGAACGCCGGGCAAGAACGCTTCGTTTCGGGCACAGTGTACCGGTCTCCGCTAATTGGCTGGAAGGGAAAATGTCGAACACGTGCTGTCATTGAAGGAATCGGCGCTGCAAGTCGCATTGCATTGTAACAGACCGACACAGCGGCGCGATGAGCGTGGCGCCGCCGCACGAGCTCGTGCTGCAGGGCTACCTCCACAAGCAGGCAGGCGTCTGCATCTGCGGCTGCGTATGGTGTAGCAGGGAGGATGCTGACGCCGTGTGTGTTGGCGTGGAGCAGAGCAAGCACCTCAAGATCTGGCGCATCCGCTACTTCATGCTCACCAAGGCAAGCGACCGCCTCGACCTGACGACAATAGACGGGAAACCCCAATGCAGAATTGCGGCGGACAGAGCTACCGGCAAGGCAGGACGGAGAGATGAGACTGACGCTGCTGCTGCTGACTGTTGACAGGACGAGGTGACGTACTCGACCAAGTCGGGGCGCAAACCGCGGCTGCTGCTGTCTCTGGGAGACGTCCAAGTGGTGCGTCGCGGGCTGCGTGTCAATATATGAGCGCTATAAAGAAGCGCTGCAATTTGATACGGGTAGACACTGAATTACTTTGGTGCTGCATGCTGGCAGGTCGACGACCAGAACCACGTGCGCCACCCGGGCAACTACGTGTTCGTGCTGCAGACGCCGTCGAGGAAGCTGTTCCTGAGCGCCACGACCGAACAGGAGCGGCGCTGTTGGGTGACAGAGCTGCGTGGGTTGCTGTCGGGAGGCTACGATGGCGTCGACCGCACGGTCTTGGACTCGGCGATTCTGGGGCGGAATCCGTCGAGCGCAGCGAAAACTTCGACGGCTGCCGCTACGGTGCTGAACAACCAGAAGAAGGCACACAAACGAGCGTCGAAAGAGCGAAAGGCAGAGAGACGACGCCAACAGCTCCCAAAGCTGAAACGGACGTTCACGGAGACGTGGCTGGACGAGGTGTTCGTGCAGCCGAGTGGCAGCACGCGCGAGGACGTACCTCTTCTAGACGCGCTGTGCTTTGCTGGCATCCCCAAGGAGCTGCGAGGGCGTGCGTGGGCGTGGATACTCGGAAACACGTTGCAGGTCAACGAAGACTTATTCAATATTTGCAAGGCTCGAGCTCAGGCTGTGCTGATGGAGATGTCGTTGAAGCGCGATGTGGACCACTCGGTGGTCGAGACACCAACAGCCAGCTCTGGTGCAAGCACAAGCGTCATCCTCGAGTCTCCGGGAAGAAGCGTGTCGAGCGTAAGTAGTGCTTCGTCTGCTTCAGAGACTAACGCAGAGGACAGTGAAGGACCTGTTGCTTCAGAGGACTCGGCAACTGTTCAAACTACGGTTAGTGCCAAACCTTCAGCGGCCATGGACGTCGCGACGACTGGTAAAACCTCGCCCTTGAAAGAAATTAGCGACCGGAAAAGAGCAAGGCGGTCTTCTGCTGTGCTGCCAGTGCAAAATATGCTGCAGGATGCTGTCGGTATTGCAGAGATGCTTGTTGCGCACGGCGAGCGGAGCATCAAGCTCGTCAACGTTGACATGCCACGCACATTCGGTCACCACCCGCTGTTCCAGCCAGGAGCCGAGGGTACTGAGCGCACGACGGAGGTGCTGGAGGCGTACATTTGCTACCGACCGGACTTGGGTTATGTGCAGGGCATGAGCTACCTCGCGGCTACGTTATGCTTTCACATGGACAGCTTCACTGCTTTCAAGGCGCTGGTCGCTCTGATGAGCTCGAGTCTGCTCTTCGACATGTTCCGTCTGGAAGCAACGCGAGTACGTGGTCGTGAAGACAAATGCATGCATTTGATCTCTGTTACTTTACTCACCCACGTTGTTTCCACGAACAGACATTCCACTACATCGAGGTGTACAACCAGATCCTCGAGTACGAACTACCGGCCCTGGCAGCTCACTTCCAGGAGATCGGTATCGACGCGCAGATGTACGCGGTCGATTGGTACGTCTCGTTTTGGTGGTGTTTGGCCGTTGCTATTCAGGCTAATGTTTTTGGCGTGTCCCCGTTGTGTGTAGGGCATTGACCCTGTTTACAAGAAGCTTGCCGCTGGACCTAGCGTTGCGTATTTGGGACGTCTACGTGCTGCTGGGCACGCCCTTCTTCTTCCAGGCCAGCATGGGTGAGCCTTATCTGTCTCAATGAAATGGACCATATCGAAGTGTGGCTGATGTGTATGCGTGTGTGCTCCCTCCTACTACAGGTCTTCTGTCGCTCTTCCAGGACTCGCTGCTGGCGATGGAGGCGGAAGACATCATGAGGCTGCTGCACAACTTCCCCAAGAACACGTCATCGCGGCAGCTCTTCGAGGCGATTTCGTCCGTGAGCCTCTCGTGCCAGGAGATCACCGAGCTGCTGGCCGGGGGCAAGCTCTGGTCGCCCGACGAGGCTCGCCAGGTGCCGGTCAAGTTTCCCGAGACCTACGAGTGACCTACCAAACAGACGGACGGACCCACTTCAACTTGCAAAAAGTTACCCAAAAGATCGCCATTTTTGCCTTAAGCTTACACCATACAAGTCCTCTCCTCGGGGCAATGCAATGCATGCTGTCGCTGCAAGAAGGACGCTATCGTTTCGTTGTGTAGAAAAGCGAGATGGCTACATTCAAGATGTGGTTCGCGAATATTCCGGCTAAGTGCGATTTCATGCCCATAAACTCCCAGCCAAACACTTTTTGATATTGCTCATACCCGCTACCGGACCCCCTCGAAGAGATGGCGACCCGCGGCAAGCCGAGCGTGTTCGCGGCCCTGAGCCAGCTGCGCGTGAGCGAGGACTTTGACTCGGACAACGACAGCGCCGAGGAGCGGCAGCAGGAGCGCAAGGAGAAGCAGAAGCAGAAGAAGAAGTCGCGCAACAAGAAGAAGAACAGGTAGGATGACGGACCCGCTCCATGGGCTCCATTGCTGCTGCTGTGGCTGTGACTGACATTGTTGGTGGCTGGTTGTCTCTCTATGTGTGTGTATGTGTGGCTACATTGTCATTGCAGCGACTCGGCGCAGCTGAAGGACCTGGCGTTCGTGTCGGTGTCCAAGCCCAAGAAGAGCAAGGGCAAGAAGAAGGCGGGCGCCGGCGCCGCGCAGACACCACCCGGATCGCCGGTGGAGGAGATGCAGCCAGTGGCTAGCGAGGAGAAGGTGCCCGAGGTTGCAGAGCCCAAGCGCTCGCTGGCGGACATGATCAAGGCGGCGCCGCCGCCGCAGCAGAAGGTGAGACAATGTGAGGTCCCAGCGGGAGTGGATCGGAGTCCGGGTTCGACAGCCGATATGCTACTCTAGCATGTTCTAGTTGCTTCGATCAAGTGCGTTGTGTCTGACGACTACACCGGGTGACGATATACTCAGACTACCCCAGTCCCCAATGGAATCGAGAAGAAGCCCCAGCCAGCAGCACCTCAGCAGCAGCAACAACAAGAGAAGAAGGTTAGTGCGCCGGGTAGTTGTTGGTGGTCGACTGAGTGAGCGAGAACTGACAGGGATACGAATGCGATCTGTGATTGAACGATGATGTAGCTCGCGTCTCCTCCGAAGCAGCAGCAGCAGCCCCAGCAGAAGCAACCACAACAGAAGCAGCAGCAACAACAAAACGTAGGTCCGCCACCGGCGCCCGCCACAGCTAGCGCACCGCCGTCTTCGTCGGAGGCGGAGCTGGGTGCCGTGTACACTCCGGCGCACATCACGATCACGCGCGTGGACGGCCAGATGAAGCGCACTGTGGCGGTGACGGAGGTGATGGACCAGCTCCTGCGCTACACGCAGCAGAACGCGCAGCTTCTAATGGTGCAGGAGCAACTGGGGGTACGTGGCCGCTAGAGTGTGGAGGGATCCCTTGTGGATAACCGCGCTGACGTGCTGCGACGTGTTGATGATGACCCCGTGCAGCACGCAAACCGCAGTCTCCAGGACCAATTGCAGCGCAGCGCAGGTATGAGCTTGGTCGCCATTTCGCTGTGTGGATTTGCCCGGCGGCTTGACTGACTGATGGGCGCGTGCGATTTTTTTGCCTGGTTTCTGCGCTGTGGTGGAACCGAACAGAGATTATCAACGGTCTTCAGAACGAAGTGACCATGTTCCGGCAGATGTGTCTGAACCTGCAGGCGGAGGTGAGTCGGCCGATCGATCTATCGATTGAGTTGTCCGGGGCTACAATGGCGGCGCGGTGCAGTGCGCGGAGCGAGCTGGCAAGAGCTGCCGATCCGTGTACTGTAACGTCGCAGTTGAAGCGCGACCAGGTGGCTCACCCGTTATTATTGTATATTGTCCATCTGTGCAGGTGTCGTTGCTGCGCTCCAATGTCCCCGCCCCAGATGCCGCCGGCAGCAGCAGCAGCAATCCCCAGCCGCAGCATCACCACCGCGCGCCGCCTGGCATGTCCTGAGCGCGAGCGTGCGATGACTATAGGAGCCAATTTAGCCTGAAGGAGGCCGGAGTCCAACCCCATAACGCCCGTCCTCGCAATAGAAGTCCGTTAGCTGGTCTACAGTCTGGTGCGTCGGCGTGCATGTATGGTATGGTACTGCTCCCTCTAGCTCTGTGCGGCCCGTCCGTTTTGCTGGCACTGCAGCGCACAGTCTCAACTTCAGGCCCGCAGTGGATCCAGACGGTGGCGTCTTGCTGGCCCCAGCCCACAAATCTCGACGGGTACTCGCGACTATCGCATCGCATGAGCCGGCTAGCAGTTTGTGGCTACACCTGAAACCTCGGGGGCTGAATCAAGCCCATAGCTTTCGGTTGCCAACGGCTGAGTAGTCGAGTTCGTGTAGTAGGAGGGTATGTATTTATTAGACGTTTCGGTTGTTGTCAAAGCTCCAAGCTTGGTGTCAGTTGTGACCAACACCGTCCCGGATCGGCCGGGCACTGCAGCGTTGAGAAAACGCCCGAGCCGGCCTGCTCCATACAGACCTTGCGTTGTGCGTGAGCTGAAGCCGCGATACTCCACCGCTGTAATGGAGGCGCCACCCATTTCATGCGTCCGCGTCGGATCGTCATCTGTTGCATAATAAGAACCGCAAACTGTATACAGTCAGTCAGTCTGGTCAGCCAGCTCCTTTTCGGGGCAGGCAGGCGTGCGGCGCTCTCTGATCATTTGCGCTTTTCCGCGGGCCGGAGCGAGACGAACCCGCGAGTGGCGGTGGCCGGGTTACCAATAGACCACAGTAGACGTCTCTCGTCCTCCCTGCATATCAATCAATACACACAGCCGATGGTGGGCAACACGATGCACCGGATCAAGAACAAGCTGCGCAGCAGCCGCCTGGGCAGCAGCAAGAAGGACGCGGCCTGGGCGCTGGACGAGGACTCGCTGCGGCTCAAGCAGGCGCAGGACGACGCGCCCGTGCGCTACGACCGCAGCGGCACGCTGTCCGACACGGTCAACGTGACGGACGACGTCGAGGACATGTTCTACGGCCGTAACAACCGCTCCACGGCCAGCGCCGCCTCGGACGTGCCGCAGTACCGCACCACAGAGCAGCTGCGCGACACGCACCTCACGCTCTCGGCGCTGCACGAAGACGCCGAGACGCCGTCAGCCACCAACAACCTCAGCAGCAGCTTCTCGCAGTTCTCCGTCACGACGCCCAGCAACTACGCGGCCTCCACGCCCGGCAACTTTAGCAACCACAACGGCCAGAACAACAACACCAACCAGAGCACGACCTTCGCGCGCGGCTTCTCCGCCATCCCCACGACTGTAGGCAGCGCCGTCGCGGAGGAGGGAGAGCTGGAGCGACTGCGCGCCGAGGTGCTCGAGGTCAAGGAGGAGGTCAAGGCCATTCGCAGAGAAGTCATGAACGAGCTGCACGTGACGCGCTACGACGTGCTGAAGGAGCTGGCGCTGCTCAAGGGCGCGGTGGCGCAGCTCACCGCAGCGCAGCACAGCTCCCCCCCGTCCGTTTCGTCCACCGACAGCTCGAGCTTGGACCCGCTCTCGGCTGATGACCGCGCGAAGCTGGTGCGCCAGACTTCCACCAAGACGTCGCCAGCCACGCGCGAGCGTCTCGCAGCGTCCCGCGCCAACGTACAGAAGACTCCGCCTCCGTTCGCTCGTGCCAGCGTTCGACTCACGCAGTTGGCGCCCGTTGCGGACGACGCTCTCTCAACGCCCCTGACGTCGCAGCAGATCAACGAGATGTTCCCGCTTATCGACTTTACTTCAGAGCTTGCAGCGCACGCGCGCGGGTTGACCCCTGGATCGCGCACGTGGGCTCTGACTCGCGTGGAGGAGTGGCTTGACTCGCGCTTCAACACTGGCAGTGACATACTGCTGGCAGTGGTCGGAGAGGGCGGAACTGGCAAGAGCGCGTTCTGTGGCACGGTGGCGCAGCAGTTCCGTGGCAACATGTTGGCTGCGCACTGCTGCCAGTTCGATCGCAAGAGCAAGAGCACCCCGCGCAACGTGCTGCTGTCGATGGTGCACCAAATCGTGGACAACTACCCACCGTTTAAGAACCAACTTGCCAGACTCAACCTTAAGTACGTGCTGGAGGAGGCGGACCCGATGCTGCTGGCGGCCAAGGTGCTGGTAGACCCGTTGAACGCGCTAGAGGAGCCGGTGCAAGCGGCTTTCATGATGGTGGACGGCATCGACCAGTGCGCGGCGGGGGCGCAGGGCCGCAACGAGTTGCTGGAGTTCTTCGCCCAGATCATTCCTCAGCTGCCGACGTGGGTGGGGTTCCTGCTGTCCTCCAAGCCGTCGTCCAAGCTGGCCAAGCGTCTGCCTGTGTCGTCTGTTCTGGACTTTAGCGCCGAGAACGACGCGTTCGTAGCTGACGTTGCTCCGCTGGTCGAAGACATCGCTCGCAACTTCAGCGATGACGACTTCGTCAAGGCCAAGTCGATGCTGAAGCAGAAGAGTGGAGGCAACTTTGCGTACCTGGAGTTCACGAAGCAGGCGCTATCACACCCGGGAATGGCGGCCGCTAGTAAGGAGGGCGCTGTGCCACTTGGTGTGCTCAACGATCTACCGGAGACGCTGTACGATATCTACGCTGAGATCTTTGAGGACAAGTTCGGCCAGGGACGCGCGCGCGTGTGGGGCAAGGCCAAGCCGCTTCTCCAGCTCGTGGTGGGAGCAGCATCCGGCCCGTACTCGCCTGTGACGGAGGAGCAGGCGAGGGAGCACTTCAATCTCACTGCGGAGGACCTGCGCATGCTGCGTCGGTCGTTCGTCGACCTCGTTGCCGTTCGCCACGGCTCGTACCGCATCGAGAGCTCAGCGCTTTGCGCGTGGCTGAGCGACCCCGCTCGATCAGAAGAGCAGTTCTACTTCAGCATCGACGACGCGCTCCAGGCTTTGCGTCAAATGCGCCGCTCTGGTTCCAGCGGATCGAGCAGTGGCCACTCCGGAAGCTCTTCGGACGGCACAACCAGCGCCCCCACCCTGTCCCGCACCACCAGCCGTGGAGCGACCAAGTCGCACCACCGATCACATGTCAAACACGAGCCGCGCGCCAACCCCGACTACAAACCCGTGGGCATCCTCAAGCGCGGCACGACGTATTGAGTAGAAGCAGATGTGAACAAAAAATAAGTATTGATGTTGATATCTCGTTGGCTCGTGTTCACTATCGACGCAGTCGCCGCATTCTACCGAGTCTGTCGCCTTTGCCTCCGCCTGTGGACGCGCGAACAGCAGACAACACTTGAGCGAAGTTGCCGCTGCGAGCTGAGCCGGGTCGAGATGGGGAGGTAGCCATTTCGACAGTCGCGCCGGCCTCGCGGCCGATCACTTCAAGTGCAGTGCGCATGAACGCCAACGCCCCGTCGGTGGTCTCCCCAACGCTCAAGACGCCGAAGACACCGGCTGTGAGACTGTCTGTGAGCAGGAAGAGCGTTCCTAGCGTGCGCTCAACGTCGAAACACACTCCATGCAGTCGGCAGGCGTGGAAGAAGGCAGTGTACTGCATGGTGGTCACGTGCGGGTGGAAGACGTACGAGCACACCACGTAGCAGCGAGGCGTGCCAGCCTGAGCCCCCTTCGCCAGCGACGCCTCTCGTAGTAGCAGGTCCGTTGTGCCCCCACCGCCACTTCGTCCTGAATTGACGGCCGCAAGTGTCGAATTTGCTGCAGCCATTCGGTAGCCTCCTGAGCTCGCGTCGAGCACGCCCCGGGCGAGAAGGTGAAAGCACGCGAAGCTCGCAGCAGAGTCTGTCAGGAACGGATGCACAGCGAGCGCCCAGAGCCGTGGTGCGCCGCCGCTCTTGTCGTCCTGGAACACGACGAAGTCCAGACTCACGTAGCCCCAGACGTTGGTCTCCACTAGCAGCTTCCCCGCAGCAGTGCACGCACCCTACAAATCACCGATAGATCGACGTCAATCTCAAGAACACAACACACAATGGAGCAGCGAAGACTCACCTTAACCGCCTCGTGCGGCGCCACTGTCTGGGGGAACGTGAACGCCACCGTTTTCCGATTGAGTCCTCCGCCACTGGCCAGCACATTCTGCGTCGACGTGATGTGAACTGTGCCGTCCGGGTCAATGAACAAGTTCGCGCGTACGTAGGCCGGCTCCACGGACGAGCTCGCAGTCTCGGGCGAGGCGACGAAGCTTGTGGGAGGAACGGCTTCGACCACGCAGCCGAAATGGCTGATCGCTTCGGTGTACTCTCGCCATGACGGGAAGATCTCGGTGTGCATGGGCGTCGCAAGTCGCGCCAACACGCCTGGACGCTCCAGTTCAGCTAGCACGAGCTTGGATGCAGCATCGCGCGGTCCCGGTTGGCGCCAATACTCGGGCGTCTTCTTCTCTCGTCGTAGCTCGCGCATCGCTTGCATCCCCGACAGATCAACCACCGCTTCACCAACACCAAGGGGGTCGTAGTCGAGCTTGAGCAACCATCTCGGCTGATCCATGTGCGCGACTGCAAGCTTGGCAAGTGCTGCGAACAGTTCGTGCTCGTCGTAGAGCTCGTAAGTGCCGGTGGGGACGTTCACGTCAGCGCGGATGAGCAGCCGCTTGCCACCTGAGCGAGTGAGCAATGGTAGTGCTTGAGGTGGCGGTGCACCAAGGATAGGCAAGTCCAGGGCGATAGCCAGCCGCTGGTCTTCTGTACCAGGCAACCCCATCACGAGGTATGCGTCTTTGCCTGCCGTGTAGTGCCGGATGCGCCGCAGACAGTGAGGCGAGTACAGCAAGACTGACGAGAGCGAGAAATGCGCTGGAAAGCGGGCAGCCTGCTCTGGAAACACGAGCTTCACGCGCGGTCTACTATCAGCCAGACCGCCCAGCTGCAGCAGCTTGAGGAAGTAGTGCGAGACGTCAGCGGTGAGCTCGAAGGGGGCCACGTACACAAGCAGATCCACGTTCGAGTCCAGAGCTGCAGCGCATATCCGCGTCAGCTGGAGGTTCTGCTGCACTGCGAAGTTCTCGGCGCTAAGGCGCGAGTGTTCATCCAGCGACAAGGACGGCACGTGCACGACAACGCGTCGGCGTCCTGCAATCTGATGCCACTGGGTCTTCAGGTCGTTCATCTTGGCTTCCCAGTTGTCAAGCTGCTCCCGCCGAAGCTCTCGCAGTCGAGCTTTCAAAGCCGCGTGGCAGCTGAAGGCGCGCCATGCGAGCTGGATCTTCGTCGCGCTGAAGTCGCTCGCGCGCGATCTCACATACCGGCGGCGGATTGACCACATCCGGACACAGGCTTGGATTGTCGTCGCAGCTCGGCGCTTGCGGTCTCTGCCTTTGTATCGCTGTCCTGGTCGACGGAGCACCGCCATTACCTGCTCTTCGTTCACGATGCAGGACAACAGCTCGCGCTTGGAGAACCGAGGCTGGCCGGTGGAAGCGAGAGACAACAAGCGCTGGCCATCAGCGTACGCCAGCGGCACGAAGTACTGCGTGAGGAGAGTCTCCAACGCGCGCAGGGCCTCCTCGACGCTGCCCCAAAGCTCCTGCGCTACGCGGCGGAACGACACAAACTCGGGTGTATCTCGCATGGTTCGTCCCTTGTGGATCAAGAACTGGTGCAGACTGTACGCGTCCAGCAGCTCGTTGTATCCGCGGATCTTGTCGACGTTGGCGCCCAGCTCCTCCATCTCGGCCTCCTCGTCCTTCTCGTTCTCATCGTCCTCCTGCTCCTCATCCGAGATTTCCTCATCTGGCTGCTCACTGAAGCGCTCTCGGTTGTCTTCCAAGTCGTCGCTTTGGTTCGTGAAGGCCGCTATTGCAGCGGACACCAGCGAGCTCTGACGTACCGATCTGCCGCTCTTGTCGGCCCTAGCAGACTCTGGGAACGACATCGTGACCTTGCTTGGACCATGTCCGGCTGAACCTCTCCTGGTGCTGCGTCTTCTGGTCGTGGCAGTAGCGGGAGGGCTGGACTCGGGTGCAGGAGGTGGAGGCGTAAACGGCGCCCGAAGATCAAACTTTAGCGCTGCGAGGTTGTAGCCCGTGGACTGCGTGAACGGCGTCGGGCGAACCGACTGCTCTGATCGATCGTGGATCCGCGTCGCACGCTGCTTCATCACGCCACCACCCGATCCATCGTTCGCTCCACTGGGACCTGCAAAGGCTGGTGTCAGGTCAGCGTATGCAGGTAGAAACCCGCGTGTGACCAGGTTTAGTACGCCGTGTTTGGCGTCCTCCTCTCGCAGTTCAGGCGTCGGCGCACTGGGGTCGACTTTGTTGACACTCGGCAGGAGGCGACAGTGTTGTGTGGTTTTCTTGCGCATGAGGCGGCCGTGATGGATCCCGAGATGCCGCTGCAAGTGCAGGGGCGAAGGCATTAGAGTCTGCCGGACCTCAACGCTGCTGTTCCGGAATTGCTGCGCATACAGGGTCAGTCAAGAGGTTATTTAACACATCAAGAGAGGACTCACCTCTCGAAAGAATTCCATCGGGATTGAGCTCGCGTCCATACTTTTCGCCACTCTGGGCTTGGCATATCCGCTGCGGTGTCTTGTGGAGGGAGGCGCTGCGACTGTGACGGCAGGGAGCAGTGTTCCGCTCTGACTTTGGTTGTTTTGAGCGCTGCTGCTGCTGTTGACCATGCCGTTTAGAACGAGCTCCGCCTTGGCGCGCAGCTCTGCCTCTGTCTGCTGCAAAATGGCGTTGAACGCCTGCACCTCGGCTGTGGTCACGACTGCGCTGTGCCGCATCGGCGATGCGTTGGCCTCCACGGCTGCAGCCGCCGCAGTCATCTGCTCTCGCATGACTCGGAGCTGCTCCTGCGTCTGCAGCAGCAGTCGACCCACATCTTCTACGTGATGCTGCTGCTGAACCTTCTCCATCGCCACAGCTTCAGTCGAAACGCGTCAGGCGTGGCGTCGAGTACAGCGAGCCAATCTGCTCGCCAATTTTACCAACACACCAGTCCTAGAGTTGAGATGCTGCTGCTAGGACGGCTAGGCTACCGCCCCGGTATTAATAGGGTAATCAGCTCAGACCACCTCGCAACATCACCGCCACCTTCACACTTCCTCTTGACGGCATTGTCGTAGTTCACTCTGGGCCCAGCATGAACATCTTGCGAGTGCCCGAAGTTGGTGCGACCGCTTCGGGCGACAAGGCGCGGCCCACCTCGTGCGAGGGATACGTGACCAAGAGAGGCCACTTCCGCAAGTCCTGGCGCGTCCGGTTCCTCGTGCTGGATGGGTCGAACCTGAACGTGTCGTACTATGAAAGCCGCGCGGCGTGCCACCCACCGACCGGCGAGCCGTCTGCACCCAAAGGGAGCTTCTACTTGTCGAGCATCGAGCCGCACGAATACGTCGTAGGCGTCATGGGGGCCGCCGAGAAACCTTTCGGCTTCAAGATGGTGGGCCACGCCCCCAGGAAGGGATACGTGGAACTGGACGTGTTCGTCGAGACACTCAACGACCGCAACAAGTGGCTCGAAGTCGCGCGCAATGCGCTGAGCGCCAAGCGCCAGCTAACGCGCCAGGCCATCGACCAGAGCGTCAGTCCGAACCGCAAGAACCTCTTCGGCTTCAACATCTCCTTGTCCCCCCAGCCGAACATGTCGCCGCAGAAGCAGATGCAGACCTTGACCAAGAGCAGGGATGAACTCCTGTCCGACGCGCTGCGCGACATTGAAGCGGCTAAACAGGTCGGCCGCGAGGCTTGCAATGAGATCGTGACCCAGGGCGAGAAGCTCGACGCCATCGAGCAGGACCTGAGTGCCATCGACCGCGACCTGGATTTCGGGGACAAGCTGCTGCGTCGCCTCAAGAGCCCCACTCTGCATCTCTTCTCGGACGACTCGCGTCCTAAAGCCTCTGCCTCAAAGGCGAGCTCTCCTCAGCGGTCGCAGCAGTCTGGCAGACCCCCGCGTCTCCCACCGGCCATGGACAGCATCAACGACGCCGGGGTCAGTGACTTGGAGCGACTCGCCCAAGCGCTGGGCGAGCTTGAAGTGCAGGCCGAGCTGCTCAACGGCGAGGCGGGTCGAGGCACGCAGCAGATCGAGCGCATCGAGCACCAGCTCTCGAACGTCACTGCGCGCGTCGAGAAGCAGACCAAACAGGCCTCGGCAGCGCTCGATTCCGGCCCAAGACTCTTCTAGAGACGCCCCGAAGCGCACAACAACACACACACTCACATTCACAACCAACACGCGCGCCGTCAAGCCAAAAACCCCTGCATTTGCATAGCCATCCACTCCCACATAATAATTCCGTCAGTCTCGATTGCTCTGCTTGGTCTAGAAAATGGGGCGGGGCGGGCCGCTCTTGCGGTCCATGAAGTACTGCCGGCGCAGCAGCTGGTGGTGGCGCTTCAGCCCGGCCTCGATGTCCTGCGTCTTGTAGCGCGCGTTCTCCTCGCCCTTGGCCTCGAACTCGGCGGCGTTCACGCGCTGCCCGTTGCGGTAGATGAAGCGCTGCACGCCCGTGTTGGACTCGCCCCGCGGCGTCACGATCTTGAGGTAGCTGAGTGACGACTGCGCGCGCTGGATCAGCGCCGACACCCTGCAGCCACAGACAGACATTGCATCAACGCAGTACAGTGATTAGACTGCTGGACACGACGGACAGGATACCACGTGGACGCACCCCTCGGGGTCCGTCAGGTCTCCGTGGCTGCGGAACTCGCGCCGGATCTGGTCCAGCGACTGCTCCCGCTTGGGCTCCGGCAGGCTCTGCGCCAGGCGCAGCAGCTTCTTGTACAGTGGGCGCAGCTCGCGCGCCGCCTCCGCCATCGGTCGATCAATCCACGTCTTGATGCTTTCGAACAGTTGTAGAGCACAACGTCCAGCACGAACGAACAGTTGGAGAGCAGAACGTCCAGCACGAACGAACAGTTGGAGAGCATAGACGCCAGCTCGGCAGCAAAGCAAACGACCATCTTAATTATCTACCCGACGTTTTTTTTGTATTGTCGTTTGGTTTAGTCGGCTGAACGCATTGCCTCCTTGACGCTCAGCTCGATAATCTCATGAACAGTAAAATAAGTAAGTAGTCAGCAATGCTCGATTGTTGGCGTGCGTGTAGAAGCGCTTTGACCGCATTGAAGGTTTTTCAATGCGGGCCATAGCTTCTCCGATGGCAAAATTGAGGCTCTCAATGTGAGGATCTTGGCATTGGCCGTGCGAAATGTGCGAAGTTGGTACCAGCCGTGACTGATCCAAACAGGTTCGGATTCATCAATTTTAAAATACAGGTAAGCTTAGCTGCTCAGCGATTTTCCAGTCGTGCAGCGACATCGTGCCGCGAGTTGCTTGACCTCACGGCATGACGAATCGTGCTCATGTGTCTGTCTGTCTTCAAGACAAGAAAGCGCCTTGAACACCAAGAAGAATATGCAAATACATGACCCGTCCGTATGGCCCCATCGAAACAGCTCGGGCGAAATGGCACGGGAACTCAATCTCTCACTGTCTCAAATCCATCAGAGGCCCACCGAAGACTCGTTGTTCACACTGATGGACCTCATGTTGCGCTTCGTACAGTAAATGAGTCGCGTACAGGTATTATACCTGCTGCAACTTGCAGCCTGCAAGAGAGCCAACTCCATTTCTCGTTAGTTAGGTACGTCAAACGTGAACTACATTGACAGAAGTAACACTACCTCAGTATCCCGTATTGAAACCAAAGAAACAAACATTATTGTACCGAGCGGGTGTCGCTGCGCAGAGCGTGAGATGCTTGTCAAGCATTGCTTGATTCCATCAAAGCTGGCCCCGCGCACGGTTTGAATTCCCTGCAGCGAGTCAGCGAAAAAAGCAAATCTCGGAAAATGATCTTGAAACCTTACCTCCAACATAAAACGTCAACCGCAGCGCGACTTCGGCCCGTACACAGGCAAGAGCATGTCCGAAGTCTCACCGGCGCCTCATTCAGCTATTTTCCTGCGCAGCGCTCACCGTGCGTTGGCTGCGCAGTCGTTGGACGGAACGATGAACTTTATCGCCCTCATCGTGGCCGCTTTCGCGTCGTTCGCTGCGGCACAGGCGCAGGTGATCAACCACAACCTGGTGCGGCCATTCCCGCAGCCGAAGCCCGTCACCGTCTCGGAAAAGGCCGCAGTCAGGTTCAAACCGCAGCTCAAGATCGATGACGGGTGCCACCCGTACCCCGCCGTTCAGAAGGACGGCTCCATTAGCGGCGGACTCAAGTGGGGCGGGCCGCAGGACGGCGAGTGCACAGGTTCCAAGTTTGGCTCGCAGGTGTACGCTCGCTCGGGCTGGGTGAACGACGTGTGGGCCATCATATACGCCTGGTACTTCCCCAAGGGCCGAGGCGCCGTGCCCCTGCCGCTGATCCTTCGACTGTTCGGACACCGGCACAACTGGGAGTACGCCATCGTCTGGATCGACAACCCCGACCTGGAGAACGCGACGATCCTAGGCACCTCCATGTCCGCGAGTGTCGGCTACTCTAGCCAGACGCCCCTGGAGTCGCGGTACGTCGACGGCTCGAGCGTCAAGGTCGAATACTACTACGACCACCTGCTCGGCAACACGGCGCTGCGGCTCACGGAAGACGCCGGCGAGTTCCAGGACCTAATTACGTGGGAGCAGCTCTCCAAGCTGGCGCGGTACTCGCTGAACCACACGGACTGGGACGAGACCCCGTTCAACGCGGCAGGCGTCAAGATGCCCCTGCAGGACGGCGTGTTCGAGGAATTGCTGGACAAGGCGTGGCCGTTTTAGACGAAGCTAGGCTAGGCTGTTCGTGTCTTCTGTGCGTTGCCTGGTGCTGCGAGCTAACTCTAAACCATTAATACTGAATCGAGGCACCCATTGTTTCGTAGGTTTCCTCCTAAGTTCCGTTCTGTCATTCTATTGGTAGAAACAAGCCCCATACATTTTCCAGCATTCTTAGCGGCGTCCTGTGCATGGACGCAGTGGGGGGCAAGCGCAAGAAGATGGCGTCGGGCGTCAAGTGCGTTCCCTCTCTGCCTGCTGCCTGCGCGTCTGCATGACCTTCTGATACCGTGACTGACCTTTTGCCCCCCCCTCCTTTCTCTTGTTGCAGCCTAGCGGAGACGCTGGCGCCGGCGCCGGACTCGTCCGTGGCAGTCTTCCACATCGCTGGCTGGAGAACGTGTGAGTGGCTCGTCCCGCACTTGCTTTGCTGTGCAGGCAGTACGAGTCCAGAATTCTCTAACAGTTATCCATGCGTTATCTGTGCAGGCCCGTCCTTCGTGAAGGCCGCGGAGGTGGCGGCGGCCATGCAGATGCTGTACCCGGACAGCGTGGCCTTCGAGGCGCACCCGTTCGAGGACCGAGACGCCTTCAAGCACTGGCTCAGCGTCGCGCAGGGCGACTTCGCCTCCTGCTTTGGAGCCGACTCCAAGGCCGTAAAGCACGTGACGTCGCCCTTTGTGTGGAGCAGCAACCCTACGACGTTCGTGGGCGGCTGCGACGACCTGCTGGCCTTCTTCCGCTCTGGTATCGCGGTCGGCAAGCCCCAAGGCGCGGCCCCAAGTGAGCAGCAGCAGGTGGAGGACAAAAGTGCTCCCAGTGCTACTATGTCGACCGCTGAAGTGGCTGATGCCCCTGTCCCTGCAGTGGCGGAGACTCCGTCGGCTGTAGATGAAGCGGAGACGAGCTACGACTACGACCTGGTGGTGATCGGTGGTGGATCTGGAGGCCTGGCCTGCTCCAAGGAAGCGGCCTCGTTCGGCCAGAAGGTCTGCGTCCTGGACTACGTCAAACCGTCGCCGCAGGGCACGTCCTGGGGCCTCGGCGGCACGTGTGTGAACGTCGGGTGCATTCCGAAGAAGCTGATGCACCAGAGCTCCTTGATCGGCGAGCTCATGCACCACGACAGTGCGAACTTTGGATGGAACATTGCGTCTGCTGACGGCAGCGCGTCGACTTTCAGCTGGAAGCAGCTCGTGGCCAATGTGGACGGTTACATCAGGGGCATCAACTTCAAGTACAAGGTGGAGCTACGCAGCAAGTACGTCAAGTACGAGAACTTCCTCGGGTCGTTCGTGGACGCGCACACGCTCGAGTTGTGGCACCCTCGGAAGGGCACGAAGCAGATCACGACGCGCGATGTCGTCATCGCGGTTGGCGGCCGGCCGAAGGAGCTGACCTGCCCGGGTGGGGAGCACGCGATTTCGAGTGACGACATTTTCTGGATGAAGAAGAAGGAGCCGGGCAAGACGCTCGTTGTGGGCGCCTCGTACGTCGCACTCGAGTGCGCTGGCTTCCTGAAGGGCATGGGCTACGATGTCAAGGTGATGGTGCGCTCTATCTTGCTGCGCGGCTTCGACCAGGACATGGCGAACAAGATCGGCGAGTACATGGAAGTGCAGTCGGGCATCGAGTTTATCCGCAAGACCGTCCCGCAGTCGATCACGAAGCTGGAGAACGGCCAGCTGCTGGTCAAGTGGACTACCGAGGACGGCGAGAGCTGTGAGGAAGCCTTCGATACGGTGCTGAATGCCACGGGTCGCGACCCGGACGTTGCCAAGCTCGGCCTCGACAAGGCTCGCGTGAAGCTGAACGAGAAGACGGGCCGCATCTGGGTCAAGAACGAGCAAACCTCGACGCCGAACATTTACGCGATCGGCGATGTCATCGATGCGCCGGAGCTGACGCCTGTGGCCATCCAGGCCGGCCGCTTGCTTTCGCGCCGTCTGTACAACAACTCGACGGCGCAGATGGACTACGACAAGATCTGCACGGCCGTGTTCACCCCAATCGAGTATGGGTGCTGCGGACTGTCCGAGGAGGACAGCAAGGAGCGCTACGGCGAGGACAACATCGAGGTGTACCACAAGAACTTCGTGCCGCTCGAGTGGTCGCTCTCGGAGGAAACGCGCACGGCGGCTGAGTCGTGCTACCTGAAGGTGATTTGCGACAAGACTCGCGATAAGTTTGTGGTGGGCTTCCACTACCTGGGACCGAATGCAGGTGAGGTGACGCAGGCCATGGGCTTGGCCATGAAGCTGGGCTTCACGTACGACCAAATGGTCGACACGGTGGGCATCCACCCGACGACTGCCGAGACGTTCACGACGTTGGAGATCACCAAGAGCAGTGGTGGCACCACCACTGGCGGGGGTTGCTGAGGTTAAGTTCCCCCCTACTTTCCTCCAACCCTGCAAGTAGCTAAGCCGGACTCGCGTGCGAAGTTGTCGTATTACCAGTAGTGGTGGTAGACGCTGAGCTGAGCAGAGTCTGCGGTAGTTGCTTGCAGGGAGGAAAGGAGGGGGAGAGGAGACAGTTGACGGAGGCCAAGCCGCCGCTGAGTAGTAGGCTTCTTTCGAGAGGCTTCGGCTGGCTTGTCGGGAGGCTGGCGCTGAGTAATGACGCTCTTTCCAGAAATCCTTAGCGGGAGGGGAAATCGAGCCGAGGATCGGCGCAGCAGAGTCGCCCACGTCATGAGTCGCTGCTTCCTCGTTTCGCTCGCCGATGGTTGAGTGGAGTGACTTGAGGATGTCAATCGAGTGAGCGGGACGTTGCTTCCAAAGCAGAATGCACATTGAAACATGAAACGAGATGCCAGTTGTGGTATGCAGACGCCTACACAGGCAGCTCCAAACTTACACAGGCTGAAGTCGTCACTAGGCTACGCTCTACATAATCTTATCCACGCAGCGTTATCTTGATCGGTCGCACTAGCCAATTATCCGCGGACACGTACCATCTGGGCGGCGTCTTCCCACATTGCACTCTTCCGGCAGCGAGCGGCATTCGTGAATCGATGGCGTCTCCTCTGCTGCTGCTGCTCCTCGCGCTGGTGCTGCCGGCGTCGGTCGCCGGCCTGGACCCGGGCCTGGGCGAGGGCCAGGTCGTGCAGCACCCGCCGCCCTTCTTCATCGTGGACGGCCTCGACTTCCAGGGCATGGCGCTCGCCTACCTGCAGGAGCAGGGCGTGAATACGAGCATCGAAGCGCAGAGCTGGATGCAGGAGCACGGCTACGCGTCGCTGCGCGCCATGCTGGACGACGAGTCGCTCTACAAGGTGACGGAGGAGGCGCTGTTCGACTGCGGCCTCACGAGCCCCAAGACCGAGACGCAGCCCATCCCGAGCAACAGCTCCTTTCAGACGTCGGGCTACACGCTGGACGGCCCCTGCGAGGTCTGGCTGGACGACACCAAGGTGGCTGCTGGCCGCAACTGCCACACGCAGTTCCCGCACGGCCAGCACGAGATCGACTACAGCGCGTGCGGAGACTCGTGCACGCTCTGGTGGTACTGGCTCGGCATCAAGTACGTCGAGGGCGCCTACTCGTGGCAGGTCTACAAGAACTGCGTCGCGCTCAGCAAGACGGCGACCGCGTGAGCTGCTGCCGCTTGTCTGTTATGCGTTGCGTGTGCTCATGAAAAAAATATATCACAAGCTTTTTGTCATCTTCATCTACCTCGTAGTGAGCTCTTCATATTACATGTGTTCTTCCCGGTGCTCGCGGCAGAAGGCTCGCCATCGATGAGCTCTTTTCTCGCAGCTCACGTTTGTTGGTTAGCTAGAGCTGTAGAGGCGAAACGAATCACATACTTAAGTAGCTGTCTTGAAGACATTCTTCACCTCCATCTACGGAATGCGCGGTGGCTTTCCCTACGAGCCCTGAACCGCGCCTCGCAGGCATCTACGTGGATTGAGAAGGCGTGGGAGCGGGTCACGTGTTGGTCACCTCCGCTCGAGCCATCCGTAGCATGGCATCGTAGGAACGCTTCTCCCGATCCGCAAACGAGAATTCGTCCTTGTAGGCGTCGTACCACCTCCCGAAGTCCCTTGAATTGTTAGCGAAATAGAGTTCAATGAGGTCAGGAAGCCCATAGCCTGCGACTACCTACAACCGATCGCAACCGCCCGTACCATCGCACACAGCGTGTGCGAGTTCCAACATACACTTTCCGCGTTTAGGAGCGCGCGTCTCGGCACACGCTCGTTACCACTTTAGACCTGGCAATTTCGCTCATTCTCGTGTCCTGCTCGCTGCAGGAAGTGCGCCATTGTCGTTGAGCCTTTCAAACGCGAGCTTTTCCCAAAACCAGTACCAGTGCAAGTGGTCCACTCTACTTCGGATTACTACTGCTGCTGGTTTTGGGACTGGTACTGGTTTTGGGAAAAGCTCGCCTTCGCTTACGTGAACCCCCTCTCGATGATGGCATGAAGGTCGCGTTAACTCACCTCTACTTGCATCCAGCACCTGGCGACTGTACTGCAGCGGACACTTCCATTACATCGATCTCCATTGTCGAGTCGCGCGAAGTGAACTTTCGCAACCTGGTCGACCACCGATGTCCTCGGCGCTGCACCGACAACAGATGGAGGATAGCGGCCAGCGTCGTGATCGCAGGAGACGCGCCTTTCGGTGCGGCGGTGATCAGCGATCGCGAGACTTTGGTGGTTGAACGCAAAGATGCCATCAGCGTTGAAGCACACTGAAGTACTTTGGTGGATTTTCATGAACTCGTATTGCAGTGGAAATGCAGGCGAAGAGCATGTTGAAAACTGTGTTCCTGAGACTTACATATTTTTTCTGTTCGAAGGTGAACTTGAACGTGAAGGAGTTCCGCTTGAAGCGGCCACGTCACTTTGAGAAGTAGCGAGCGAAGCATGACCAGTAAATGTCTAGCGCACGGAGGCAGAAGCAGCTCACCCGCTGCAAGCAGGCCTGCCTTCGACTATCGCAACTTGTTGAGTCCGTAGAGGAGGGAGGTCGCCTCCTTTTCCGGTTACCACGCTGGTTCGCTTCTGTGCAGCTCGCATCCGCGGCGGCACCGGCTGGCGGTCACTCGGTGCACCTTTCAAAGCCGAGGTCCTTTGCCTGCGTCCGGGCACGCGCTCCGGAGTCCGAACACCACCGGACCAGACCAGGGCCATGCCTCCTCGCCTCGGGACTGCAACGAGTTCCCTCCGGCTCACTTTCCATTCGTCCGCGTCGCCGCCAACTGCTTATCGACCATGGCTCCTTCCTTCCTCTCGTCGCTCTCGGCTGCTGCTCTACTCTCCAGCGCCGCGCTGCTCGCTCCGACGGCTGACGCGCACCAGGTCGTGCTGCTACCTGCGCCGACCTACACCACGGACGACAAGGCCACCAAGTACGCGCCGCTGGCCTTCCTGGAGAACCAGGGCTACGAGACCGTCGAGGACTTCAACGCGTGGCGCCGCGACAAGGGCTACAAGACCCTGCGCGCCTTCATGGACGGCGCGTCCTACACGGTGGCCGACGGGGCCGACTACTACTGCGGATTCACCGACATCAAGGGCGTCGCGCAGCCCATTCCGGACGGCACCATGCGCTCCACGGGCTACACGCACGACGGCCCGTGCGAGGTCTGGCTGGACACCACGCGCGTGCTGCAGTCCGACAACTGCCACGAGACCTTCAGCGGCAAGACGTACGACCTCGACTACAGCTCGTGCAAGGGCTCCTGCACCCTGCGCTGGTACTGGCTGGGCGTGCGCTTCCTCAAGAACGAATACTCGTGGCAGGTTTACAAGGCGTGCGTGCCGCTGTCCACGTCGGCCAGGCGGCTCGAAGCCGCGGCCAACGAGTCCGCTGCCCTTGAGTTCTAAGGCTAACTCGAAGTTCACGATCCTGAAGCGGTCGTAGCGTTACTTGTTTGAAGTCAATCGAAGCGTATCAGTCCTGGTTTTGCTGTTTGTTCTTGCTTGCCCTTACTGTTGAGCTGAGTCTGCTGGAATCGTTGAGGTGCGTTTGGCAAGGTGGTTCGGACGATGCTTGCGCCGCCGCACATGGCCACTTGCGCCCGTGATGTAGAGGAGGTCACTAACTTTATCTGCGCGTGGACTGCAGGTGTTCTATTCTGCTGAAGGCGAACAACCTCTGGCAATCGACAAGTACACATACTTAGTACATCCACCTTGTACGTCATGAAAAAGTCATGAATGACTACAGATTCGGGAGTGACAGAACATTTACGTGCATTTCGGTCGACACTTAACACACCCACTCAACTACATTTTTGCTGGGAAACCATCGTCCTCATCTCTTCTGATGTTTTGAAGGCACTTTAGAAATCGAGACGCGCCGACTCGTTGGTCGCGCCCTCAAGACGGCGGGCCGACGTAGACAGCGGTACGCACGCCTTGTAGATCTGCCACGAGTACTCGTTCTTGAGGTAGCGCACGCCCAGCCAGAACCAGTAGAGCGTGCACGTGGAGGTGCACGAGCTGTAGTCGATGGTGTAGTCCTTGCCGCTGATGGACTCGTGGCAGTTGTCGTACTGCATGACCATGGTGTCGTCGAGCCAAACCTCGCACGGGCCGTCGTGCGTGTAGCCTGTGGAGCGCATAGCGTTGTCGTCCGGAATGGGCTGCACTTCACCGTTGGTGTTGGTGAAGCCACAGGTGAAGTCGGCGCCATCGGCCACAGTGTAGGACGCCCCGTCGTTGAAAGCGCGCAACGAGTCGTAGCCGTTGTCTGTACGCCACGCAGTGAAGTCCTCCTGCGTCGCGAAGCCCTGGTCTTCCAGGAAGGCGAGGGGCGCGTACTTGGTGGCCTTGTCGTCCGTGGTGTAGGTCGGTGCGGGCAGCAGTACGACCTGGTGCGCGCCAGCCAGCAGCGCAGCGCCAGATAGCACAGCAGCAGCCGAGAGCGAGGAAACGAGCGAAGGAGCCATCGTTGCGAGGCGATTGGAGGGCGGCGTTGCTTGGTCGGTGGCAAAAGCGGAAGTGAGCAGACCCGCAGGCTGGAGAGCGGCTCACGCTTAGTCTGTCGTGACGGAGAGGGTCTTTTACTAAAGGCTCATGCAGCATCTTGGTATCTGCGGCCGGTTCTTGCTATCGCCGGAAAAGGCTGGACGAGCATATCCCCATGCAGTTTTCAGATAGGGTGAGAGTTACCACAAACCTGCTGCTTCAGGCACGCTCAAGGAAATCGGACGATCAACCTAGGAGTCGTAGCTGCTCTGTAGAGTCTATATAGCAGCCCCGCGCAGTTTCTAGTGGGTGGAGGAGTCCTTGCGTGATGCCTCAAGCCTTGATACCTTTACGCTCGCCGAAGTGACTCTGGACATCTTTGCCACACCGAGTCCCTCTCACCAGTCGAAGGAGCAATCATTTCACGGTGTAATCAAGAAAATGGCAACCAACCATTGGTCAATCAAGTTGAAGTTGTCAAAGGATCAGTAAATCTTTCGTCTTTAGTCCTCATCGAGCCACCCGCGCACTTTGCGCCACAACTGCTGCTTCTCGCGCTCCAGCTCTTGCTGCAGTTTGGCGTCGCACGTGGCTTTCTGCCACTGAGATAAAATACGCCGGAGCTTCGCGTCTTGCAGCTTGATCGCCGCCTCCAAAGCTACCTTCCGTTGGCAGGTGCGTTCACTTACAAGGCGCTTGTACCAGTGTGTCCAAGCGTGTTGCAGCGAGTTCCATTGGTTATGGCGGTGCACGGCGAGTGCACGAGCCTCCGTTGCCTGGTGGTGGCGCATCAGACCCCACAGTGCTCGTCTCTGCAGTGAACGCGCGTGGTGCTTCGCTGCTTCTTCCATCTGCGCTCGTTCTCGTCGCCGATGACGTTTACGACATAGGAGCACAAACTCCTGCCATCGCCCCCAGTGAGAATACACTGTGCGAAGCTCGTGCCAGCGGGTGGCGTTGCGCGCAACTCGCTGGCTAAGCGCGTGGTGCTTCCTCCACGGCAGTAGAGCGTAGAAGAAGAGCAGACGCCGGCGGTTGTGCTTGTGCGCCTTGTGAAGTTGAGCGAGCATTTGGTCGCGCTGGTCTTGTCTCTCCTGTTGAGCACGAGCTTCTGCTAGTTTGCGCTCTCGAACTCGCGCCTTCTCCTCTACCCGTTGTTGGAGAAGAATTGCTTCACGAGCAGCGCGCTGCTCTTCTTGCTCCTTGCGCTTCATCTGCTCGAGCTCGTCGTACCTACGCTTGAGTTCTTCCCGCCGTTGTTTCCGCTCAATTGCACGCTGCTCCATAGCCTTATAGACCTTATCAACCCGCTTTGTTGTTCGGGTCAACGTTGCGCCTGGAAATTGCGGCGGAGGAGGCAGCCCGGTTACAGTGCCAACGGGTACGGCTGGCTCGCCACTGCGTGGGGTTGGAACTTCTTGCTGCGTAGCTCGTTGACGGAACCGAGCCGATAACTTGGTACTCCGACAGCGTTTAATAACTCGTGGGGCATACTCAGTTGTAGTCGTTTGAGGAAGCTGTTCTTCGATACGTCCAACAGCGATTTTGCTCTTCAGTTTTTCATCAGATTCGCCCTGACATTCGTCTATAGGTGATTTCTGCCGCAGCAGTCTCTCCATCAGCCAATCTGATTGAGCTTTACGCCTCTCTGCGGCCACATCCGCCGCTCGCTGCTCCTTTTGATGAGCCACAACTCCTGCCCACTGGTAAAACCACCTCGGTAGGCACTTCACGCGATGGAATTCCGCAGCTTGGTCATTTAGTTGCTGCTCTCGAAGCAATTCCAGTCGTGCTTCATCTGCCGCTTTGATCTGCCTCTGTCGATGCGTATACCGCTTCCAGTTTGCTACGATGCTCTTTAGTGTACGCCACCGCAACTCAGCCACCACTCGAAGCTCTTGTTCTCGTCGGCTGTCCACATACTGCTGCCAACCGCCAAAAATCGCGCAAAGTGTCTTTAACCGCTCTTTTCGACGCTGAAAGCGCTCTTCAAGCGCGACGGCCTGCTGGTTCTCCACGTTGAGGCGCTCGATCTGCTCTTCTAGCCGACGCTGTTCTTGAATATCTTCCTTATTGTTGTCAACCGCAACGTGCTGGCGTAGGTGTAGTAGTGTTTTTGCTTCAGCGGCTTTAAGTTTACGATCGTTGCGGGTCTGTTGAAGGAGCTCCTGTCGGCGTTCCATTGGGAGTTGTCGGGGCGGGAGATGACGTACATGCGGCTTTTTGCTCGAGATACCGGTCAAGGACGCTTTATGTGTGGATTTCCGTAGCATTTTTGCTTCATCTTTGGCTGGTAGTGTTTCAGCCTTCTGATTGTTGTCTGCAGATTGCATCAGCCGCACCCGAGGCTTCTTCTCCTGGGCTGACGTGTGACTCAGCCTTGAACCTGTTTGCGGCGTCAACTTGCTTGAAGAGCGCTTAGAAGTACTCGAGTGTGTTGCAGTCGAGTATTTGGCCTCTCCTCTGCGTTTTGGCTGCTTCTGATGCCCCGATGTCTGGCGCAAAGCATCTGCCTGGTTCTCGATCTGGAAGCGAACGCGAAGGATCTCCTTCGCTTCAGCTGCCGTATCCTCGTGGCTGTAGTGGTCGTGCTCAGGGCTACCGTCATTTTCCGACTGTCTCGTTTGACTACGAAGTCGCAGCTCTGGCTCCGCGGCGAAAGCGTTCCGCCGACCGATTAACTGATCAACACACTCGCGACTCAGTCCCTCCTGCTCCTTGGGTTTCGCATCCAGTGCACGTAACAGTTGATCGGCAATTGAAGGTGATCGAGCAGGTGAACGGTAGCGGATTTCTGTCGACTCTTTCGGCCGATGTTGCGACCTTGACGCAGATTTCTTGCCGAACCGCAATTGCCACGTCGACAGTCGTGCAGGCGAGTCCGTATCCGGTGCGGCATACTCGCCCTTCATTGTCGAGGCAGCGAATTGGGAACTAAGCACTCAGTCCGCTTTTGAACTCTAAAAGCGTAGCGACACAGCATCCCAGAAAGCTTGATAAAAATACGGGTGTAGTTTGTCGCTGCAAGATCCCAGCCCTTGCTGGAGAGGAAAATCCGTTCTACCCAATGCGTTGGTGCCAGGGCAGGACGCCTTCGCTCTACCATGTTCCACAAGGAGAGCCTCATCCAGTTCATGGCCGGTTCAGGCTGCTACAGCATCATCCAGATGATTCTGCTTGTTGTACTCGGAGCTCTGCTCGTCGACAACGAGCACTATCACCAACTTCTGGGCTTGACTATTCGCGACGTGGGCGGCGGTCTCATTTTCACGGGCGTCTTCTACTCGTTCGCTGCGTTGCTTGGATTTGCCACCGCTCGGACAAAGAACAAGTGTCTTCTCCTCGTGCAAGTGATCTTGCTCGTGTTCCTCGTGTTCTTCCAAACTGTCATGGGTGGGGTCGCACTTGCGGCTAGTAGAGCCCCCAGCCTCGCGCTTAGCTACGACGCTCAGGTTACTTGCCTGACGGTGGGGAAATATGAAGCACTTAGTGATGCCGACAAACGGACGTGCCAGAACTTTTTCCGAAGCGACGAGTTTGCCGGTGCGATGCTCGTGTGGCAGGCCTACTACGTCAAAAGCGCAGTGGGTAGCGACTCGGCGAGCTCGTACCGTGCGATGGTCCTGGAGCTACAACGCGACAACTTCTGCTGCGGGTACGGACTGCCAATACATTGCACGGCCGATACAAGTTCGTTTCCCAGCTCGCGGCCAAGTGCGGTGGTTCCCAGTTGGAATGAAGAGCGCCAAGTCTGCTCGAGTACTGCAGGCTTGTACTTGCCCACGACAGAGTGCAAGGGTGCGTGCTCGTTTGCTCTACCTAGCGGTACCTGCGGAAAGAACCCCGTCACAGCCACTTCACGCGGATGCGCGGCCTTCGTCTCGAGACAACTGAGCTTGCAGGTGGAAGTTATCGGCGCCATTGTACTCGCATTTGTGGCGTTCCCGGTGCGTTCACTTTCCCTCCCATGAGCTTGTCTTCGTACTAACGTCTCGTGTGCCACATTTTGAGCATTGTAGATCGCCTTCATTGTAGGGACCGTGTGCCTTTGCTTTAAGCGACGAGATCAAGACGTGCGGCCGCAGGTCGAGTTCGCAAGTAAAGTCAAAATCCACGCAGAGATGTGAAGTCTCCATGCATTTCGTGATGTGGTTCAAACCACCGTGGTTTACCGTCATAGACTGCCAAAAGGTAACCAATACTGTGCGTCGGCGGCAAAAATATCGGAGCACGACACTTTTAGTTCGCACGTTGTACACATCGACACTGCTCTGCAGCACTGCAGCATGACCCTTAACGGCCACGGGGGAGACCAAGTATCACTGAAGCATGTGGGGCTCACTCCGCCGTCAGCGCAGACATCTTCGGACCACCTTTCGTCTATCATCTCGTCTACGGGAAGACGCTTCACAGTCCGCGACGGATTCCACCTGAAAACGCGCAACGCTGAGGTGCAAGCAGCTATCGACGCGCAGCTGGCAGCCCGTCAAGAAGAATCCCCAGATCCGTTAGCTTCACCAGAGATCGATGACGATGGTCTAGACGGAGTTACGCCTGGACCCGCGCGGCAAGATATCACCTCCGCCCTCCCTCGTCCATCGCCCAAGCGAAAACTAACGATCAATAACAACCTGGAAGATCGACGCCAGAATGATGACGCCGGGAAAGCAGAAGCACGGGAGGATGGAGGCAAGCGTGTCACCAGCACCGCAGTCGCCGTGCTGGATCAATTGCTTCAGAATGACAACTTCAGCCAACGTTCCGGTCGCTCTAGTGGTACAACCGGAAGAGTCCGAGCTGCTTTGAAAGCCCCTGCGGAGTGGCTCATCTATCGACGTCGACCGAGTGAAACACAGGAGCGGAAGCAGCGAAAGGTTGACAAACTGCTCAATGAGGTGCTTCAAGAGCCGGAGCCGCAACCTTTGAAGCAAGACGAAGTGCGCGCACCGAGGAGACCGCGCTGCCAGTCAACGTTGGGCTCGACATACAGCCAGCGCGTGGCAGCAGCAAGACCAGCACAGCGGCCATCTCGGGACCACAAGCACCATCCTCACCGCGAGCTGCTACAGCCACTAACCGAGACCGAGCGTGGTCTTTTGCGAAGTCGAGAAGATAACAATAAGGAGGTTGACAAGCTGCTCGTGTCGCTCTTCCACCCTCCAAGCACTCCTTCAACCCCACCAACTCCAGGGACGACCTTTGTCCCCATCGTGAAGCCCACCACCCCGACAAACCGGTTCTCCACGCGGCGAAGTGTCATTCGTCACGAAACTGCTGTTGCTCTGCGCTCACGCAACCTCGTGTCTCGGATGAACGAGCTGCGCACGCTACCCCAGCTACTGGAGCAAATGGAAGCCTTGCAGCTCTGGAAGAAGCAGCAGCATATCGCAGAGCACGGCGTCGATATCGTAGCCAGGAACCGAGCCAACCCCGCGTTACAGGTGCTGCAAAAACCGTCACAGACGCCCTTACTCCCTTCAGCGACCGACCACAAGGTGCACCAGGCCAACAAGCGCAAGCAAGAGCTGGATGCAGCGAAGGAGGAAAGCGTGCGGCGCATCGTCGTCCGCTGGCAGATTCGTCGCGAGCAGCGAGCCGAGCAAGCCCGTCGCGTCCACGTGCAGAGTCAGTGGTTACTGGTCGTTGCCCTAGCCAAAAGCTCCAAGATGTGGCTGGCCAAGTTCCACGAGTTCCGTCTCAAGCGCAGCGCTCTGGTGCGCGTGATAATGGCCAAGCGCTTGCAACGCTACTGGCGGCAACGAACGCTCGTAAAGCGCAACTCGCTCCAGTTGCTGCGGTTTGCGCCTAGCACGCCTCTCTCATCGGCGTTTTTCCGAATGCCGGTGGTGATCCACGCTGTGACGAGGCTACAGCAGAGCATCCGGGACTGGCTCGAGCAGAAGCACCACCGCGAGCGTAGGGAGGCCGTTGCACTGATCGTGACGGCGTGGTTTGAGTTCCAGGACGTGAAATTCCGCCGCATCATCCTTCGCTTCCGGAAGCGCGTCCGAGACTTCCAGATCATGTGGCGGGCCTGGCGGGCCATCACTGCTGCGAGGATTAAGCTGTTACTCCTCGTATGGGCGAAGCTGGAGCGGAAGGTCAAGCGGCGTCATGGCGTCACAGCAGCTCACCCGATGATCACCTTCTCGCTGGGCCCCGACGCTCACCACATGAAGGCCAGTGGGGCTGAAGCAACCCCCGTAAAAGCCTTGACGCTGCTCGACATGCTGCAGCGTTCTGCGACCGAGAGACCATTGAGTCAGCAGCACAAACAGCTCGAGGACATGCACCGACACTTCCGCAACGGAGGAGCAGTGCACATGCCTATCAGCGCGGTCTCTCCGTCGCCCAGCAGCAACTCTCCGTCCGTCGGGTTCCAGGTGCTGTCATCTTCGCCGTCATCTAGAAAGTCTGACAGACCACGGGCAGCTGAGAATGCCCACGTCCGCCAAGACCTCGAGCTGAGGAGCAACATGGGCGAGGAGTTCCAGCTCGTCATGTACGACGTGTACACGACCCGCCAGAGTTTGTCCCCAAACTCCAAGACGTCCCCAACGCGAGCATGCTTGGGGGTGGGTGCAGGAGCTGCGCAGCCCAGGCGATCACCCCTCAAGACCCCGAAGTCCCCCGCACAGGCCCCGCCGCTGCCTCTCCAGCTGCCGCCCTCTTCCTCTCGCGTGCCCGTGCCGCCGCCGTCCAAGAAGGTCCCGCACCAGCTCAAGGTCGCGGTGCTGCGGAAGCTGCTCTCGGAGAAGCGCAAGACGTACTCGGACGCGCGGGACCGAGGGCGCGAGGCGTGGGCGGCGGCGCGCAAGCAGATGCGCAGCGAGGCGCTCCGCTACGACGTGCTGGACGAGCTGGCGGCGTTCCGGCAGCTGCAGGCCAAGTACGCGACGTTCCTGCTGCTTCACAGCGTCACGGAGACGGAGATGGTGCGGCTCATCCACCAGACGCAGGAGGAGGTCAGCGCCGCTCTATCGCCTAGCGGTGGTCATCATCGCAAGAGCATCGACTTGTCGAATGTTGTCCGAATGTAAGGGTAGGTCGACGATTCGTACTTAGGCTAAATTCAAAGGCCGCGGGAAAACTTCTCCCGCCAAGTCAACTCCAGTCACTAATCAGTCCGAGAGATAACTAGCCAGCCAGCCATGATGCCGCCGCACCGCTCGCCCCTCAAGCGTCTGTCGCTGTCTCCGCCCGTGTGGAAGGACCAGCTCCGCCAGCGCTGCCTGCAGCGGCTCAAGCGCGACCGCGGCCAGCTGCTGGCCAAGCTGAGACGGCCGGACGCGCTGAGCGTCTCGGAGGAGATGCAGCGCCTCGTGGCCCACGAGCAGCAGCAGCAGCGAGAGCAGCAACAGAAGTCTCTGTCGGCCAGCGCGTCGGTGGACGACCTGCTGCTCATGGGACGGCTCAAGGAGAGCGACTACCTGGACATCGTCCACGCGCTGGAGGACGCGCTGCGCCACGAGACGGAGGACGACGAGGAGGAGGAGGAACTGCGACTGGCCGAGCACATGGCCGACCTGGAGGACGTCGAGCTGGAGGCCTTGCTGGCAGGGCTTGATCTCGGCGGACAGCCGCAGGAGGAGCAGCACCAGCACCAACAGATGCACGAATCTAGTGGAGGTGGCTACGACGACGCGGAGCTGGATGAGCTGCTCTCGCACGACTCGTTCTCCGTTTCGGTGCTCTGCCCGATCTGTAAGACTGGTTACCTCAGAGAGAACGCAGACGATAGAGCGGCGGTGCCTTTCATCTCCTGTAGATGCGGCTTCACCTTCCACGTCAAGTACGTCTACCACGGAGTGCTCGAGGACTTCCAGGACAAGATTGTCAACGCCTTCATGGCGCATCGGTACGCAGACACAAGAATGGGGCGATGCGTATCATTGACATGACACCCACGTTGCTCTTGATATGTTGTGTGTATACGTGCAGTGATTCGTGCTCCTCTGACCCGACATTTGAGAAGAAGACGTCTATGGATGATGGCGCGGACGTGCTGTGCATTAACTGTTCGCACTGCGGCTGCAACCACGCTCTGCCCTGAAGCGCTGCAGCTGCTGCGGACTCAAGTGTCGAGCACGGCGGCCCTCTATTTATTTCCTAGATTTTCCCAGTGCTACAGCAAAATACGTTGGTGTTGGCTCGTGGTATCGACTGCTCTCTCTCTCTCCTGAATGCTACTGTATTACAAAAGTTAGATGGAAGGCAGGAAGTGCGCTGTCATGAGCGCTCCGATGAAGAAGAGCCCGAGCAGCCCTGGCGTGAGCAGCCCCCAGACCGGCCAGAAGGCGCAGATGTAGCAGAACGTGGCCACAGCCCCCACGATCGTCGCGGTGGGGATCATCCTCGGGCAGTAGACGCTCCACTCGAGCTGCACACGCTTGATGTAGGGCAGGTAGACGGCCAGATACGCCGTGATGCAGATGTTGACGCCCGTACAGATCAGCGCCACCTGGAAGAAGCCCCTGCAAACAAAACACACGCGGCCATGAGCGCACTGCAGCGACTACGTTAGATTGATCAAACGCCGCCCACCGCTTAATGCGCGCGTCCGTGAAGATGACGCGGAAGAAGTCGGTGCCGTAGGCCACGAGTCCGGCCGCCGCCACCCACAGGAAGGCGTGCAGCCTCGTGCTCCACAGAGCCGCTCGCTGCGACCGACTGGCGCGCTGCTGTAAGTGCTGCTCGCTGTCGCTGTCATCACCGTCGCCCTCATCGCTCTCGTGGTGCTGCGCGGGGGGCACGCGCTGGTAGGACGGACGAGCTCGGGCGGCCATGGCGATATCGGAACGGATAGTGAAGTGACCCTCCTGCTGGTCGTTTCGCGAGATGGATCGTACTTAGGAAAAGGCAACATTCAGGACTCGGTCCGACTCGCTTCGCAGTTAGGGAGGCCTTCACTGACGAGTCCTCATAGTCTTTTGGGAGTTGCGGCATCAAGGCTGGTCCCCATAGTATGGAGAATGGAAGAAGGTATCACTGTGTTCTGGGGCCATTGTGATGAATGCGGCTTGCATCGAGGACGCAGTTGGCAACTGAGTTGCTGGCCTGGATGCAGCTATCCGAGGTGACGTTGGCGAGATCCTTGCTGCGCTGGATGAGGACGAGCTTCCAACGACGATTAACGATTAACGCTTGCCTTTGCGCGTGCTCTGTAGTCTCTCGTGTAAGTGGTTCTCGATGACGGCCTAATAGCAGACCAGCGCCAAGCTCCCGAGATTAAGCTTACACGGAGCGCGCCTTGCAGGCTGCAAGTTGCAGCAGTCGTCCCATCCGGGGATCGCGGCGCTCGCCCTCGTCTCACCCCCATGTGTCGACCTGGAACCAGGAAACGCGTCGGGCGCCCCGCAGTGCGCGGCCCGCGACGAGGCCTGCACGTGGTGGGATCGCAGCTCTCCGTCTCTACTTTGACATCCGTGTTGACTCACAGCGACCGACGCCCCCACAATTGCGTGCCCCGGCTCAGTCGGCCTTGTCAATCATGGCATGGCTTGGTCGAACGGTGTGCTGTTCGAGCTCCTCACTACTTAGTACAGTACAATGCTGTAGCTCTTTAAGCTCTTCGAGACTGGACCGACGACGCTGGTTTCGTTGATGCATCGATCGGTCAGACAGAGAGCGCGTCTGCAGTCCAGCGACGTTGACCGGGTTCAAATCCCCACGCCTTAGCTCGCAGTGACAAAGGTGCAATCTGTCGACGAACTCTCCAGTTGTTGCTGTTGTCCGCGTCTCTGAGGCGTCCATATCCCGAGAGGAGGAGATCGACCAAGATGAAAATGATCGCGACCACCTTCTCTGCATCCGACCACCCGGCGTTGTGGCGTCGATCGATCAGCAGCGCACGTGTGTGTTCCGCCCCATGATAACAGCGAAGCTGTCGGCGATGGTCTGCTTGTGCGCTTCTCGTTCAGTAGCTCAGCTCATTCTTGAATTCGCCGGACCGTGAAGACAGACCCAAGCAAGATGAAGCTCCTCTCGTCCACGATCGTGCTCGCGCTTCTCGTTAGCGCCGCCCAGGGCAAGCAAATGGTCCGACAGGGCACCAACCCGAGGTGCAATGCCAAGAACAAGACCCCTTCGATCTCCGCCGGCTCAAACCAGTCCAACCAGCAATGGTCAAGCGAGTCCAGCCAGACTGGCCAGAGTGGTTGGACCCCGGCGTCGTCGGTGGACTCCAACGCCTCAAGCGAGGAGGGATCAAGTGCATCGACCCCTTCGACGGATTCGAGCGACTCGACGCAGCAGGGCGAGCAGGGTTCCAGCGGTTCGACTCCATCGACAGACTCCAACAACTCCAGTGGGCAAGGCTCCAGTGCATCGACTCCATCGACAGAGTCCAGCCCCTCAAGTGAACAGGGCTCTAGCGCTTCAACTCTCTCGACGGACTCGACGCAACAGGGCGAGCAGAGCTCGAGCGCTTCCGTCCCGTCCTCGGACTCTAGCGGAGACTCAACGCAGCAGGGCGAAAGCAGCCAGTCGACCCAGCAGCAGTCCTCCACTGCCTCTAGCGGCGCTACGACCACTTCGTCCGCCTGCACGCTGACGGGCACTTACTCCAAGGGCGCGGACGTGTCGACGTGCAAGAACATCGTGATCAAGGACCTGAGCGTCCCCGCGAGCACCACGCTGGACTTGACCGCTGTCGCCAAGGGCGCGACCATCACGTTCGAAGGCACGACGACTTTCGAGCAGGCCGAATGGGAGGGCCCTCTTGTCCTCCTGACGGGCACCGATCTGACGGTCACGGGCACCGGCACCCTCGATGGCCAGGGCGCTTTGTACTGGAAGAAGGGCACGTCGATCACCCGCCCGGTCTTCTTCCGCCTCAAGCACGTCATGTCCTCGACGCTCAAGGGCTTCAATATCAAGAACTCGCCCTACCGCACGTTCAGTGTCCTCGACTCGGAAGACACGACCATCAGCGGCCTGACCCTCGACTCCAAGGCGGGCGACGGCGTCGCCAAGAACACGGACGGCTTCGACTTGAGCCGCAACAACCGCCTGACGATCTCCGGCTGCACGGTGTACAACCAGGACGACTGCCTCGCCATGCAGTCCAGCAACGACACGACCTTCACGGGCAACACGTGCAGCGGCGGTCACGGAATCTCGATCGGTTCTCTCGGCGGTGACTCGGTCACGGAATCCGACACGGTCAGCGGCCTCACCGTCAAGACCAACAAGATCATCGACAGCGTGAACGGCATCCGCATCAAGACGATCGTCGGCAAGCAGGGAGCGGTCACCGGCGCCACGTACACGGGAAACACGCTGTCAAACGTCAAGAACGCCATCGTCATCCACTCGGACTACAGCAAGGACAAGGGCGGATACACGGGCTCTGCGACGAGCGAGGTGACGATCTCGGACATCACCGTGTCCGGGCTATCGGGCACCGCCGACAAGATCTACGACATCCTCGTCAACCCCAAGGTGGTGTCGGGCTGGACGTTTTCGGACATCACGGTGAAGGGCGGCTCGGGCAGCTGCAGTGGCGAGCCGAGCGATGTCAAGTGCTAAGGAACACCCCAGTGCGTAAGGGTTTCAAGCAGTCTATGTAGTAGAAGCATGCAAATGGATGGATGGGAGTAACGTAATTGAATGTCTGCGGCCGCAGTGGGCATACCGTTAACTGCCGTTCGAGTCAGAGACTCACATTGCCCTCTGGGCTTTCGCCACACTGCGACTCGATGGTAGCGCAGACCTCGTGGAACAACGTCTCGGTGGCAGTCACGCTAGCTGCTCCGTCGCCCTTGCGATCGTAGTCGTAGCCCGGGATCCAGATGAGACCGTCGTGAATGACTCGCACGAATACTGGCGCGCGTCGGTGGATGAACTGCTTGTACCCGCGCTGCTGCCATCGTTCAAGCAGCATCCTAGCGTTAGCTGAAGGCGAGCGGCGGTGTCCACGTATCGTCCTCGTCTTCGTTGTCGACGTCTCCTGGTCGATTCCGAGCCCATAGCCAATCCCGCTGCCATCGGCAATCCGCTCGTCGTCTAGCACGAAGTCCAGCATTTGAGTGAGCGCCGCAACGAAAGACTCGGAGACTCGAACGGGGAGCGGCAGGAAGACCGAAGCTATCAGAGGATGGATCTGCACGCGCGAGACGCTGGAATACTCGGGAACGCGGCGTAGATCCAACCCCGCCTGCTTCGCGCGACGGCGAACAGTACCAACGAACTCGTCCGCCGCGATACCGCTGCAAGCCAACCAGCGGACATCGAGATGAAAGCACCGCGAGATATCCATGGTTTCCTCCACACGCATCATCACCCACTCAGTTCTCGAGTCCTCGAATTTCGCGCCAGATGACGATGCCGTCGACGCCTTGCAAGCCATCTTGAAGCTCAGCATGCGGTTCCCACCGAGCGGTGGAGCTTTCCCAGCTTCTTGTGGACCTTGCGGCCGCTCCAGTACCATGTTGATAGTGATGTTCTCGAGATCGCCAAATTCCGAGGGGGCAACGCGCGACTGCAGGTACTCGATGAACTTTGTAAACTTTGCTGCGTAGGCTGTCGGGGACTCGGTATCGCCACCCTTCGAGATCACAGGGGGCACGATAGCAAACCGGATCCGCCGGCACTTCATTGTGTCCGCCATGTCGTCAAGGTATCCGCACAGCAGATTGTCCAGGGCATTCCAGTTATCTTCTGGTTGCGGGTACCGATGGAATATCTGTTGGTGCGGCTGGAACGACTGAGTGAGAGCGACCCAGAGCGAGTAGTTATACGAAGTGTACGCGACTTCGGGGTCATGCGGCTCGCGCTGGACGAACCTCTTCACTTCGACGGTCTGTCGCTCTGCGTCATAAATGAGCTGGTGGATGCGATGCCCCATGCTCAGGTGATACACTCTTCGTCGGCTCTCGGGAGACGACTCGCTACCCATGAGGGACGCAGTGGAGTCGCAACTGGACACGAGTTGAAAGTCGCGCGCAAGCCGCTGGCAGATCATTTCGATCAAAAGCTCGTCGTGGTTACGATACCGCGGCACGCACTCGATCGCTGGAGCCTGCGTCGCGGTTGTAGGAATCGTCACCGTGTAAAATGCTTCGGTATAACCTTGGCGCAATTCTTGCGGGGACGGAAAGTGGTCGGTAGTTAGCGGCAGGATAGCGGGCGACGTTAGACTTGTCCAGTTTGGTCCAAGGAATATGGGCTCGCTGTCTTGTGTTGCAGCTTCTCCTGACACCTCGTTCGATGGACGATGGGCGACATGGTTAGACACGGGGAAGAGGTGGCTCCATCGCCTTCGGTCGCTTGATAAACGTTGAGAGACCTGGCCTTTGGAGTACCGGAACGGATTCACAGCCGCTTTTCTGTGGTCAATGGGTGTCATAGCGATATCTGTAGCCGACGAAGCCTTGAAGCTCAGGCTTCCAGACATCAACGACGGCCGGAACAACTCGGATTGGTTTCTGCGCAGACCACCTGGAGGAGATCCTGGATTACTGAGGCGCCGCTGGTTGCTCGTGAGCTTACCTGTGAACCCGTCTTTTGATGGGGAAGAGTACGCCGGAGAGGGGCCAGACGTCGACGGCAGCTCCTTGGTCATGGTCGACGCTCGTGCTAGCGGACGAAACCCCTCATCTCGACTCTTTCCTGGAGTCCCAAAGAGCGTACGGCTGGCCGACAACGATGACTTCGTTGCAAAATTCATGTTGCGCCGGCGCTCCATGGAGCTGCTTAGCATCACCTCCAGTGAAAATGAGGGGTTCGCGTCTGCCCTCGGGACTGAGCGAGACATGATCGGGATTCCGGAAGAATGGCCCCCATTCTGCTGAGTGCGGTCTGAAAAAGCAGTCTGGAACATTTTGCTCGGTGAGTTGCCATTGGGTTTCAGTTTCCGCGGGGAGATCAGTGTTTGGATCATGCTGGTGCTTTCGCTCGGAAGGAAAGCGCTCTCCTTCCGGAAGCTGGTATTGTTGCCGCTGTTACTGCGCTCTCTCGTTCGATCGGCTTCCTTCTTTGCGTTACGAATAAACCACTCGAGATGGCCGTCGCCGTACCCACCGATGGTAGCGCTGGTGGCGTTATCGTGCTCGTCGTGGCTTTCCAGAGGAACAAAACCCAGTCGCCGCTCTCGTGAGCTCCTCGCCGTGGCGGATTCGCCGTCTCGCACCACAGGGGCGAATACGCTCTCGTCATATTCCTTCAGTGCGGCTCGCGCGTGGAGGCTGGCGCTGAGGTTAGTAGCGGAACGCAATTGCCCCGATGCGAGAATGGGGTCAAAGTCAGGGGACCGGCTAAGCTGCAATTGTTCCGGTGGTGGTGCAGACGATGCCGAGTCGGGAAGCTCGCTCGTCTCGAATAACAAGCGTCTTTGACTACCAGTGATCCTGATTGACATTGGCGCTGCGGCCGTGACGGACACCTCTCCACTCTCGCTGGTGGAGTTTTCTTGTTCGACGTCTATGCGATCACAAGTGGAGGGGGCACTGAGCCCGAAGCTCGGCGCGTTTTGCGAGGTTCTCCGCATCAGGTTCCGCAGCGTCACAGGGAACTCCAATTTCTCGGACGGCGACGTGACATCGAACATACGAAACGATGGCAGCGGGTCGAATTGCTGGTTTCGTTTGACCTGGCACTCGCATGACTGCCATCCACGGTGAGAAGTTGGGCTGTTTTGGCTCGGACTCAACGGCGCGGGAGGCTCAATCGGCATGCAGATATTACTGGAGCGCCCGCAGCCACAGCCAAAGTCCAAGAACGTAATGTTCACCCAGTGCGGTACGTCGTAGGTAAGTTTCTCGGGTGAATCGCCACTTGGATCAGCTGAAGTAATGCAGTCACTGAGTCTTGCTGGAGTCGACGAGCGGCGAAGGATTTCACTACCAGCTCGCACCCACTCCGGGCTCTTGGGCTGAGAGGTAGACATAAAACTTGAGACTCCATGGAAGGAAGACGCAGTTTCCAGCGACTTTGGCTCCTCACTCGCACCTGAAACCTCGCTGTAGGAGAGCTTGCGCGCGAAGCTGGAAGCATCAGGGTTGAGACCTGCAGCAGTCTTTCCTGAAGGTAGGTTGCGGTAAATAAACAGCGGAACAACATGCAACGGCGGCGTTGTCAGCGAGATCATGTCCATCCCGACTCCGTTGTCCATCATGCGTTGCTCCGTGATCTCTGCCAGCTTCCGATCGACATTGAAAATACTGCAACCAGCCGTCATCATGACGATACCCTGCCCAGTGCGGCTTAGGTCACGATCCATGTAGTGTTTGTCCAGCACATTCAATGTCACATTGATGGCCTCCAGGATGTTGCCGTCTTTGGCGCGGGACGGCACCCCCGACGGCAGCTTCGTCCACTTGATGTACACATCCTCACACTCGCAGTCGGAGGTGTCAGTATTGTCTGTGTCGGTAGTGACCATCGTACCCTTCTCCGACGTTTTTCCAGTATTAGTGCTGGTGGCAGGCTTGGGGCATCGACAGATCTCGTACTTTGCGGCCGAAAACTCTTCGGGCGTGCGCCACCGGTGCATCTCGTAGTAGCTGGCGAACTCCTTCTTGAGCAGCAGCACCAAGCGACTCCAGTCGGGCCCCGTGAAGTTCATGACCACCACCTTGTAGAAATCCTCGTAGTACCGGCCCGAGACGGGGTCGACGTGGATGGTGGGGCCGTAGCCGTTGGCCATGTTGATGCCAGGCGCCCCGCAGCCCGGGCCAAAGCCCTGTCGTCGAGGGTCTGAGAAGGGGGCTCGTCTCGGGTCGAAGTCGTCGGGGAACTGGTTGGCGTCGTAGAAGCTCCTGGAGAAGGCGATGATGGTGACCGAGTGGCTCACGGAGCTCTCGCTCCACTTGTCGATGAGCACGCGCAGCAGCCGGTTGAGCAGCTTCTCGTAGTAGATCTCCCCGTCGGGCGCGAACTCCCACATCTCGGTGCTCATCTGCACGAGCCAAAAGAGGCGGCTGGACCTCGAGCGTACGACGATCTTGGTGGCGTCTCCGATGACGCCGCAGCTGAGCTGCGTGTTGTCGGCCAGGATGGCGTCCACCTGCGAGCGGATGCCGAGGCACTCGACCGTGCGCCCCACGTAGACGCACTGGCCCAGCATCGTGACCTTGAAGCGCCAGATGTCGGCCCTCGACAGGAACTGGTCCTTGAAGCTCAGCTCCACGAAGTCCACGCACACGTCGCGCTGGTCCACGCGCCGCACAGTCACGGAGCGGAAGGCCTCGAGCCCGAACTGGGCCGCGATCTCCCGGGCCACGCTCACCTGCAGCTTGCCGCGCACGGGCGCGAGCGACTCGACGGACAGCACGAGCCGCGGGTGCGGGTGCGCGCGCTCGGGCTGCGCGACCTCCACCAGGTCGTGCAGCTTCACGTCCGGGAAGATGTCCGGGTTCAGTACCAGCAGCTCCCCATTGCGGAACTCAGGCCCGTGCACCACCAGCGTCAGCGCGTGCCGAGTCCGCCACATCCGGCCCCACTTCAACTACCAGAGCGCGTCCCAAACGGCGGGACATGGCTACACGACCGCTCACTGGTTGAAATTCAACCCATACAATTCCCAAGTCGATTATCGCGCTCCATACTCAGACTCATCCCGACACCCCCTGCTTCCTTCCTGCCTGCCTGCCTGCCGCCATGAGCGCCGGGGCCGCGAGCGCGCCGGCGTCGGCCGAGAGCGACGTGGAGCTGATGCGCACGATCCTGGGCGAGCACGTGCCGCAGAGCGTCATCCTCACGTGCCTCAACGCCTGCGCCTTCGACGTGAGCGCGGCGCTCAATTGGTACTTCGCCGAGGTGGCGGCGTCCCCCACCGCGGCCGCCGCAGCCTCCGCCGCCGTCCCGCAGCGGCCCGTGGCGGCCGACGCCGTGCCCAGCATCCAGTCGGGGCTGAGCCTCACGCTGCACCCGCGCGCCATGGAGGGCATGGTGAGCAAGTCGGAGGCCTACTACGCGACGCTCACGAGGGGCGACCCGGCCTACGACATGCTCACGCCCAGCAACGACAAGTTCCTGACCATCCGCCTGCGCAAGCGCGGCTGGCGCACCGGAACCTTCCTGGGGATGCCCTCGCCCGCCACGCAGAGGCCCTACTTCGCCAACGGAGACGTCGTCACGCTCGAGTGCAACGGCCTGTGGCTCAAGGCCAGCTCGCTCAACAAGATGCTGCAGTGGAAGGCGCCGTCCGAGGACGACCGCAACAAGTTCGTGATCCGAGGCCTGCCGCTGGGCAAGAACCTTGCCCCCGGGGACTACTTCTTCCTCACGAGCTACAAGTGGAAGGACAAGGAGATTGTGCGCAAGGACGAGCGGCCCGTCGGCATCAGCAGCTACAACACCAACGTGCACCGCTGCTTTCTCGGCCTCGAGCGCATCAAAACGTGCGTGTTTTCGTCAGTCTTGCTCACGTGTGAGTGGGTGATCGTGCTGACGTGTGCATTGCACTGCTTCTTCTTTGATGTTGCTGTCGGACAGGGCGAACCAGCGCTTGTATCTGTACGCCAAGCTGACCCAGAATGCACTCAAGAGTCTACCGAAACCCGACGACCCGATCGATGTCAACCACCTGACAATCAGTGTCATGGGCACACCCATGTCGACGGGCAGCATCAGCCTTCACGAGCAGAACCATTCGGTACGTGGGTATTTTGTCTCGATCAAATGCAAAGGACGCGTGCTGACTATTCTTCCTGACAATACTTATAGCGGCGGAAAGACTCCATCTCCGACGAAATCCAGCTCACAAACGCCAAGATCGAGCAGATGGCAAACATCATCGGTACAGATGTGTCTCGTGATCGACTAGCCAACTTTTTGGACGGTGCTGGTGGAGATGTACAAGTGGCGCTGGAACACTATTTTATGAGTGTATCGACCCCGGCACAAGAGACGACATCAAGCAGCGCACCACCATCTATACAGATTCCAACCAGGGACTCAGTGACCAGCCTCGAAGAGGCTCAAGCTCGAGCACACGCTGAAGCCCAGGCAAACCACGACCGCCGACCTCTGAGTCAGCTCATTCTGGGCATCCCGTCTATTGCCGAACCAATCCCGTCGCCGAGCACGGAACCGGTATCAATCCCCCCGCCAAGTAGCTTAAAGGCAAAGCACGGCCTTGTCGTGACGCCCCCACTCCTGCCCTCCGTCGATGTCACGAGCACCTTTGTTGGCGAACCTTCTCCTGGCATGCCGCCCCCAGTACCTTCCCCGTGCCCGTCTCCGATTCCGCCGTCAGTATCAGATGGTGGCATGACTCCAGTGCCTGTCCCTCTGTCGGCCGGTAATGGGGCCCCTGTGCTTCGAATCATGGAGGGCGAAGAGTTTGTGGACACTACCGACTATACAAAGCACCAGGAGAAAATGGAGCAACAAATGACACATCAAGAACAACAAATTACTCAGCAAGAGCAGCAAGCGCGCGTATCCGAGACACTGTCAGAGGCAGACAGTGAGAGGGCCGAGTCGCTAACGATCCAGGACTTCGAAATGCTGAGTGTGCTGGGCAAGGGCAGTTTCGGTGCCGTAATGCTTGTGCGCTTCAAGAAGGACGGCCGAGTGTTCGCCCTCAAGATTATCAAGAAGACCAACATGGACCAGGCGGACGTTCAGAACGCGATGGAAGAGCGGCAAATTTTGCAGCGCATTCACCACCCGTACATCTGTGGCCTGGTCTTTGCCTTCCAGACCAACGAGCGCCTGTACCTTGGAATGAAGTACTATGCTGCTGGAGATCTCTTCTACCACCTGAATATGAAGGGCCGCCTGGGTGTGAAGGACGCCAAGCTGTACGGAGCAGAGCTCGTGCTAGCCATCTCGTACCTCCATGAACTCAACATCCTTTACCGCGACCTCAAGCCATCCAACGTCATGATTGATTCGGAGGGCCACATCGGCGTAGTCGACTTTGGGCTTTCCAAGCAGCACATTTATGGCAGCAGCTTTGGCGTCAAGACGCTGTCGGGTACGGCTGAATACGTGGCACCGGAAGCACTTGCGCAGTCTGCGGACGGATCCCGTAACTACGGCAAAGCGTACGACTGGTGGAGTCTCGGCGTCGTTATCGTACGTTCCTCTTCTGTTGTTGCCTGTGGTCAGTTTTGCAGCCGATTGCTAATAACTTCTCCTCTTTTGCTTGATGCAGTACGAAATGCTCGTGGGTGAATCACCGTTCTACGATGAGAACGAGCACAAGATGCTGAGCCGCATCGCGTACTCGGACGTGGTTTTCCCCTCGGACTTCCCACGCGATGCGTATGACCTCGTGAAGGGGCTGCTGTGCAAGGACCCGAAGCAGCGACTCGGGTCTGAGCGCATGGGCGGCGTGGACGCCATCAAACGCTGCAAGTTCTTCAGGCATATTGACTGGGACAAGTTGCTGCGGCGAGAAGTCAAGGCCCACTGGACCCCAAAGCTCAGCGGCGAGACGGACACCCGATATGTGGACCCCGAGTTCATCGACGAGGGTCCGCCTTCAGCGGCGTACGACCCGAGCGCCGAGACGAGCAACTCCCTCAGCAAGCGCTTCAGCCAGTTTTCATTCAATTACAGTCTCGGGTGAGACGTGGAGACGGAGTACATACAAAAGAATCTTAACTAAACTCGGTCAGGCAGTTTTGAGCTTGTGTGTCTTGCTTGGTGCACTCACGTCTCGGACTTCAACGGCCGGTTCATGAGCACCTCCTGGAGCTGCTCGCGCTTGACGTGGCCCTTGATCATAGCGTTGACAGTGCGGAAGATAGGCAGGTCGAGGCCGCACTGCTCGGCGAAGTAGACGGCGACCTCGGCCGTGGGCACGCCCTCGACGGTGGTCTCGCGCAGCAAGTCCTCGGCCTTCTCGCCCTGGATGAGGCGCAGTCCGAACGTCCGGTTACGCGACAGACTGCCGAACGCCGTGAGCATGAGGTCGCCGATGCCCGAGAGCCCCGAGATGGTGATCGGCTGGCCGCCCATGGCCAGACAGAGCTTCTGCAACTCGAGCGAGCTGCGCGTGACGAAGGCGGCGAGCGTGTTGATGCCGTAGCCGGCGCCCTCGACCATGCCGGCTCCGATGGCCAGCGGGTTCTTGAGCGCTCCGCCGAGCTGCACGCCCACGATGTCCTGCGAGCTGTAGATGCGGAAGTCAACCGTGGACAGCCGGCGCTGCACGTAGACGGCGTGGTAGAGCAGCTTGGAGGCCACGACGACGGCCGAGGGCGCGTTGTTCATGAGCTCCAGCGCGAAGGACGGGCCCGAGAGGAAGGCGAGCGGCTGGTCGCGGCCCAGCGCATCGAGGATCGGCTCGGCCAGCAGCTGCTTGGTCTTGAGGTACAGCCCCTTGCACGTGATGACCAGCACGGCGTCGACCGGGATGTCGTCGCGGTGCTGCGCCAGGAAATCGGGCGTGAGCTGCGCCGGCAGACACACGATCACCATCTTGGCGCCGGCGGTGGCCTCGGCCACGGACGTCGTGGCGCGGATGTTGGGCAGCAGCTCGAACTGCGGGAACACGCGCGGGCTACGGTGCGTCTTGTTGATGGCCTGCACCACGTCCGCGTCGCGCGCGTACACCACCACGTCGTGCTTGCGTCGCGCGGCCAGCGTCGACATGGCGATGCCGAAGGCGCCCGCGGCCAGCACCGCTACCTTGACCTTCTCCACCTCCGCCGACGGCATGCCGGCCATCGTCGCGCCGCCCAGAGACCCCTCCATCGTCTCGATCGATGCGTGTCACTTGCAGCCTTGCAGCGGCTCCCTAACCGATACGCAGTCCGTTTGACTACCTCAAAGTCAAACAATGGCTTCCAGGTAGAAACGTGACCACTTCCGAAAAACTTGTGACCCTTTCCGAAAAAACTTTTTTTTTCGGAAGTGGTCACGCATGCTACCCCGTAGACAAATTATGTCTCCCAGGTAGAAGCAAACTATAATTTCCAGCCACTCGTTCCAAAAGCTCATTTGGCAATTTGCCCCACCAAGCTTCCAAGTCTGTAGATAGGCATGTGCCTGTAGTGAAGTCTCGCCCTGTGTCTATCTTCCCCGTGACGAAACTCGATGGGGAGTGGCTTCGGCCGCTCTCCAAGTCGTTCCAGCACCGCCTCCCAGCGGTGTCCACTTCATCTCGTGGAGTATGCCTCAGGCGCGCGCTGATAGCTCGATCTTCTCTCTGAGGGAAGACTGCGTGCACACTAATTGTCCTGGCCCGCGGCGCTGTCTCTCCTCCCTCGTGGAGGGGTGTGGGCCTCATGGAGCTCGTCTCCCTTGTTCGTATGAGTGCTACCCGTCGGCTGTTGGTTCTCAACGGTGATTTCGGCGGGTCTCCCACTGCAGAGCGCGCGCGGGCCAAGAGCAGATCAAGACCAGCATCATAGTACCCGATGCGGCGCACTTACCGCCCTCGTGTCTCCAATAGCTGGCACATACCCACCCGTCCAATTCATTCCTTACTTCTACTATTACATTTACTCGCCGCCGCTAGAGCAACTGCCTCGGCAGCATGCGCTCTCGTCGCGCGGCCTCGTCAGCGTCCGGCGGCGTCTGCCAATGCCCATCGACCGTCATGATCGACGACTGATGCACGTGGATGGCGGCCGAGGGGCTGTGCAGCACCTTGAGCAGCGTGGACACGAGGTTCACGCGCGACTCGAAGGCGAAGACGTGGCCCTCGCTGTCGAAGTGGAGCACCAGCTCCATAGGCAGACAGCCGCGGCTGCCCACGAGTTTCTCCACGATGCCGCGCTCGTGGGAATCCCGCAGCGACTGCGTGAAGAGCGCCGGGTACAGGAACTTGAGCGTGTCCTCCGTGAACGTGACGCCGATCTCGCCCGTGGCGTACACGGCCACGGCGCAGCGCGAGTCGTCGTCGTTGTCCACAAGCCGCACCGAGTTGAGCTTGAACGTCAGTCCTTGGTGGAACGTCGTGTACTTCTCCCACTGGTCCATGAAGGCCTGCACGCCCTCGAAGTCCCGGCACAGGACATCCCGCCGGAAGACGCTCGTCATGAAGCGCTCGGTTGTCGAGCTGCGCGCGCCGTCCGCCGAGTCGTATCCGTGCGCGAACTGCAGGAAGTACTCACGCGTGAGGTCAAGCGCCACGACCGAGCTGTTGGCCCGCCAGAGCAGGGTGGCCGAGTCGCGCAGCAGCGTCGAGCGCTCCAGCGACGCGATGTGAGACTGCAGCGAGCGGATGGAGGCGTCCAGGCTCGCGTCCTCCGGCTCGGGCTCAGTTTCAACCTCGCTCCGACGGTGATTGCGGCGCGCGCCTTGTCGGCGTCTCGACGCGCAGTTCCGGGGCTGCGGCGCGTGGTGGCGCCGGCGATGTCGCAAGGTCACCACGCGCGCGAAGCGCCGCGCCAGCTGACGGGCGACGTCCGAGTCCCGTTGCAGCTCTCGCTCGGGCGGCGGCAGCGGTCCGTGGAGCAGCGGCAGCATCTGAAGTTCTCAAGTGAAGTGCTGAGGTGGGAGGCTATTGCTTGAGCTCGGATGCTCGGATCCGCGCGTCGGCGAGGAGAACAGGAGTGGAAGCGTATGACCGCGCCCTCTAGCAGCTGGCAATCCTCGGAATGCTGACAGACTCGTTCTCGCTCCACCAGAGCTGAAACGATGCGGGTGTATGAGTCCTGCGCCTGCGAGAGAGTGGAGCGAGTGCTGCCTGCCTGGCCTTCGGTCGTTCAGGTATTTGACTTCTGCCACGGCAAGAAGGGAGCCAGGTCGTTTTCTATTTCACAGGGACCGCTTGGATCTGCTGCCCTCCGTTTTTGTAACGGGGTACAATCGAGTGTACCCATTACATGAAGAGTGACGGGTGTCACTCTCCCGAGTACATGGTACATGGTACCAGTAGCTCCACAAGCCAACCATTTGAGTTTGTGTGGGCTTTTGTATAGTTAACTTGTAGTTTGTATTACGACCAAGTTAACCTCTACCAAAATACAGTCAGTCTTATAACCTACTCCTTTGTAGCAAACCGTTCCATTTGAGGCCGGGAACTGGTGAACTGCTGTTCACCTGGATAGTAATATCCGCACGCACTTCCTCTGTGCATTGTGCTGTGTGACCCCGTCACACTTGGTAGCACTTGTAGTAAATCCTACGCCTACGCGGGTAGATTGGTCTACCTGAATCCTCGGTGGCTCAGGTCTGTGAGCCACGATGGACCGAAGTGAGTTTCCTCACTTGACTGACTCGCAGTTCGAGTCGGTGCGGAAGATGGCGGGCATCTTCGGAAGAGATGCTCTCCGGAGCTTGGCGGCGGCGACGCCAGCCGAGCAGGTCGAGCGGGTGAGCGCGTTTGACGAGTACGAACGCGGGCTCATCGCTCATGTGCAGGGAACCTGCTGGCTCAGATGAGTGAGCCCAAACGGGTGCAGCCTAAGCCTCTGCGGCTAGCTGTGCCTCCGTTCGAAGGGAAGGAAGGTGAGAACCTTCACTTCTGGATCCGGGAGACCGAGATCGCAATGAGCGCAGGTCTCATCTCGGCCGAGAACCTTCGAGTCGCCTTCGTGCTCTCCAATCTTGGCGGACGTGCCAGGACTTGGGCGTATACGCGCGAAGCGATGTCGCCTGGATGTTTCACATCCTGGGCTCAGCTGTGTGAGCAGCTACGAGCCGCTTTTCTCCCGGCGAACAACGAGTTCCGCCAGCGCTCGCGCTTCCTTGCCTGCAAACAAGGGGAGCGCGAGCTGTACGCGTACGTACAGGAGATGCGCATATTGGCAACCTCGCTGGTGGGGAACCCACTGTCAGAAGACGTCAAGATGACAGTCTTCGTGGACGGCCTGAAGGTCGGTCCTGCGCGCACGCAGTTGTTCCGCGTGCGCACCGCCACTATGGAGGAGGCGATCCAAGTCGCCCTCCAGGAAGAGTACAGCCACAAGCAGGCTGGTGCTCTGGCTGTTGTACAGCCTGTGGTCGCTGACAGCGAACCAGAACCCATGGATCTGAGTTCGGCTGAGCAGTACTCAGCCTGCTGCTACGGCTGCGGCGGACTAGGACACTATCAACGTGTCTGCCCATCGCCTGGGTCTGGGAAGAAGACCTACCCGAAGACCAGAGGGTCAAGGGGGCGCCGACGCCTCAGGTGCTCAAGGGGGACACAACCACCAGTAAGGACGAGGGCCTTGCTGGGGTTGGCCCGAGTCTTTGTGATGGGTGTACGGAAGGCGTACACCACAGAGACCCGGGGTCCCTTGCGAGCACTGACGCTCGCATTGGTGAAGGACAACGGTGGGTTGTCGGTAGTACACGTGAGTGTGCGGGTGTAATGGTATCCCTAGACATGATTGAGTCTGGGACGTCGCGTGGATGTTCGCACGTCGCCAGATGTGTCGGTTGGAATAACGACACAAGTGCCGAGACTCTGCGAGAGAGTCTAAGCACAAGGTCAGGACTCATTGACTGAGGCTGGGCCGAAGAAAAACCTTGGGGTCCGCTGTGACCCTGGCTGCCGCGCTCGAGGGCGCTGACAGCAATGGAACCGCACATGGTCCCGGACATGGAACCGTACATCGTCCCGGACATCGTGCCGAAGCCGGCCCTGGGCACGGAACCGTATATGCCCTCGGCTTGAGCAAGTATGACTTGGCCCTGAGTGCGCCGTGCAAGCTGCACAGGCTCCCGGTCGAGTAGCGCGACAACGCCTTGAGGCTAAGTCGGCCCTTTGTGTCTGACAGAGCATTGGTGAGTCATGTTCCCACCTCTGGATAGACACAAGGGCGTCCGATGGGACCGCCAGGGCGCTGGATGCGTCCGACAAGACGAAGAAGAAGAAGGGAGGCATCATTGACATGCTGATCTCCATGAAGAAGGAGCAGTGTATCTGCAACCGAGGGCTGTTATGCCTGGCATGTGGAGCTGCCTCAACAAGCAACTCCAGTGCTGAGAGTCATTGCTCGGCATGAGCATTGACAAGGGTGGTGTTCGATGACACCACCAGGTGGGTAACCAAGGACCACTGACTAGCGGGTAACTTAGTTCCGCACAGAGCATGTAATGCTGAGGAGGCCGCTCAAGGCACCTCCGGCGTGGGTAACCAAGTACCACACCCGGTCGCCCAGACCATGACTGAAGAGGAAGGCGCTGCAGGCACTTCCTGTGTGGGTAACCCAGTTCCACACCAGGTCACTCAGACCTAAACTGATGAGGAAGGTGCACGATGCACTTCCTGTGTGGGTAACATAGTTCCACACGCGTGCCAAGCCCTTGGAGGAAGGAAGTGCTTCCGCGCACTCCCAGCCGGTTGAAATATACACGAAGACAACGTCAAGACAGCGAATCTACCTGCGCGATAAAGCGTCTAGTCGGGTGTCGATGCGATGCAGTTCTGGTAGTGCGGAGGCTACTGGTACCAGCGGCGCACGATCTATTCTTGCAGTGACAACCGCTCCATTCTTGCAGCGGCTACCGGTCTATTCTTGCTCTGCGCTGTACTTGGGACTGGGGGTTGATTGACTTATTTTTAACTTAGAGTTAGGCTGCGAGATATGATCACCGGGAAGGATTTGCTCGTTGGTTTAGAGCCCTTAATCGCATGCCAAAGTTCGTGCAAAACACAATAACATTTCCGACTTGTCGCTTTAGACAGGTGATTTCTGGCAGCTTCCTGTCGTCGGAGGAGTGTCGCTTTGTAAATGCCTCTACATGCGCACGTCGGATCCGACTTTGATCAGGGCCAAGTATCTTTTTAGTTTGTTCAAGGTCTCCTTGCTCCGAACGCAATTGCGGGCTAGCGGCTGTCAAGATCAGCAACAACTGCTAGAAAAGTTTCGCCGCGTCCCTGCGCTCTACCCAGAGGGTAATCGCTGGGGGGGCTGCTGATGGGTCGTATCGTCCCGTGGATGAAGATATGGTGTCTTCGCTTACGCAGCCGCTAACAGCCGATGACGTAGCAAGAGATGCCAGGTGGTTAGACAGCTCGGTTATACTTGTGACGGGCAATCTCGATCGCGTGGTACTTAACGGATGCATGGTGAAGCTATTGTCCGCCCAGGCTCGCCGGCTTCTGTTCCGTTGGCGTAAAACTTTGGGTACTGACATTCCAGACGCTGTAGCAGAGCTGATTTATCGTGAAAACGAGTTTCCGGAACTATTTGGTTATTTCTTTAGTGGTGCCCCGGGCCAAATTCTCGGCAACGAGAACGGGAACGTGCTACTTGGAGTTGCAAATCGGACGAAATGTTGGTACCACTCGCTTGGTTGGGATGACGATGAAAAGGCCGCGGAAGCCACCCGCCTAGCGGAGGAGGCCCTCCGCAACAACCAAGCAATCGTCGATTTGCCTTATGCCCCCGAATTTATTAATGTGCAGCTTGCCGATCGCGATGGTGGTGAACTTAGCGGGGCTGAATGGCCATCGGACATGAATCTAGCTACAGACTGGGCGATAGGTCCAGATGGGAGTACCCGTTACAAAAAGACCGTGGTGAATCCGGTGGGGACGATGCACTCAAACAACGATAATTTTACAATCAAGCTGGCAGGGGCCGACGGCGGTACGTCGAATATCCGCTACATCCAACACGCGGTTGATCTCGCCACGGTGCTGACCGTTTGGAAAGCACAGGGCAGCACATTCGACCGCGTAATACTCCTTCTTGAAGGATCAACCAATTCTCCGGGCTGGGATTTCGAGCACCTCTACGTGGCAGCGTCTCGGGTTCGTAACCTCGATTCGCTTCGCTGTTTCGCGTTATCGCCGACATTCAAACGGGACAGGCTGCTGAAACTGCAGCCAGACATTTTCACGGAAAATTGGATTATGGACTTAGATGCGGACGGTCAGTGGCGACCTCGTAGATAGACAGCGCTATTCGATCAACTACGAACTGTTCGCCTTTATTCCCGATAATCTATCGTCCCCTTTGTATGTCCGGCTCTTATTATGAAGATGCCAGTAAATGTTAAGACGCGCGAAAGCGCGAAGCGTGAAGGTCTGTCTTCTCTTTACGTGTTTGGGCACGCGCCTCCGCAGAGAATATTTTACCGGGATATTCTGCATTTTCTTCAAGGAATCTATCAGAACGCCGTTTCGCCGTTGTCAGCAAATTTCAATCTTGCATTGTGCCTGCCCGGTAGTGCCTCACTCCGATTTTTTCTCGGTTGGTGCCGGTCGTGTATAACGTCTTCTGAGTCCTGCAGGTTTTGATGAATGATAACCGAGCTGCCCGTGGGAACGCTGTACACGCTGGACTATTTGCGGTCTCGCGCCGATTCGATCTGCTGGGCGAGAACGAAGATATCGCGCTCCGTATCAACCCTTTCTTGGATCCATTGCCTCTTTGGTCATTTGAGAGGGCTCTAGCACGGGGCTACGCACAGCTAGTAGCGCGCATTGTTATTCGAGATCACGAAATCCTGCCCGATGGGCCTCTGCTCGGCGTGCTCTACAACGAGCGGGCCGTTGTTGCGACCCGAGCCGGAGACTTGCATATAATATCGAGGACCTAGCTCGGACGTTTCCTGCACTTATTCTATCGGGTGCCCCTGAGGCAGCGGCTGCGAGCGGGCATATTCACATCCTGCAGTGGCTGTTCAACCAAGGAGAGCGCGGTTTATGGGGCGATCAAATCTTCTGCCACGCTATCGCTAGTGACAACTTGAACGTGCTACGCTGGCTGGGTACGCGATTCCCAATTCCGGTTCATCCGGCTCTCATTTTAGTGGCTATGGAAGAAAAACGCGATGCGGTTGTCATGTGGCTCTGGTTGACAGCGCAGCTGAGAGAGTGGCCACTTGCAATCCTTGAAGACGCTATATCTTCCGCATCATTGGCCACCGCCAAGCAAATGTGGGCCACGCGCCTGTTACCGATGCGTGTATCACTCGATTCTGCCGCTTATCGAGGGGATATGGCGTTCCTGGAGTGGGCTGGCGAACAGGGCGCGGAGGCGACGGAGCAAACTCTTCACGCTGCCGTGCGAAGTACACGGTCAAGTGGGTGTGCGAGAATTATCCGGGTTTGTGCACGCCTGCTGTAATGGATGTTGCAGCTCAAGTTGGAAATCTGGACATCCTGGCATTTTTTTGGCGCCACTACCCGGTCGCGTGCTCGCCTCGCGCCTTTGTCCTAGCCGCGCAAAAGGGAGATTTAAACGTGGTTAAATGGCTGTATGAACACTACCCGGAACAGCTCCATCCTGACACGTTGGCACATGCGGCTGGGATGGGTCACCTCGCCATCGTCCAATGTGTAGGGGGCCTACCTTGGCTCACTACTACGGCTTACACGTATGCACACGTGTATGCGGAAGCGTAGGTTTCTTTTACTTGAGTTAAGTATACTCGAGATCCACGAGTATACTTTAAACAAGATAAAGATTCCAAGTAGCGGGTTTTGGTAAAAGATGAGAACTGCTATTTTTGTTTTATGTTTCTGACTTCCCCTAAATGTAATATTCTAAACTAGGAATCTGCCAACGGCTGGTTGGCAGAATTCCAATGCTATGCATGTCGCTCATTGGCTAAGAGATGATGCTCTCAGCCAATAGGAACCCTAAGTCTCTATGGACCACCCGTCGTGGTGGTCGTAAATGTATGTAGCTTTTGGTGTGTCTACACCAAGGTCGAGAAAGTCTTTCGAACCTCTAACAGACGTCGTATCTGTTAGAGTTACAAGTGACTGTAGCCACTTGTGCGTGTAACCCCGTTACACAATGGCTTACCGGCCTCAACGTTCCCACCACATCCGACGCCATGGACTGGGCCGCATCCTGTGGTCATCTTGCCGTTGTGGGTTGGCTGCATGACCACAGACAAGAGGGATGCACAATTCGCGCGATGGACTACGCCGCTACAGGCGAGCATATCGATGTGGTTCAGTGGCTACATAACAATCGGCACGAAGGTTGCACAACCCAAGCGATGGACGGTGCTGCTGGGAGCGGGCATTCTGATGTCGTTGTCTTCCTTCACGAACATCGCCACGAAGGGGCTACTGTCGACGCGATGGACGGCGCAGCGGCTGGCGGCCACATTGCTATGGTACAGTGGTTGCACGCTAACCACTTGGAGGGATGCTCGCGTGCAGCGATGGACAGAGCTGCAGGGACTGGTAATCTCGAGATTGTGCGGTGATTCCATCATTCTTGCAGCGAAGGTTGCACCCCTAGCGCCATGAATAACGCTGTGGCGTCCGGGAACGTCGACGTATTGACCTTCTTGCACCGCTACCGCGACGAAGGATGTACCCCGATGGCTTTCTCGTGGGCCGTTGCCGGGAACCGGCTGCACATCGCAAGGTGGTTAGTTGAACGTTACCCTCATGTGTGGAGCAGGCCGGAAGCCATTGCCCGCGGGAATCCCCATGGTTGGACTGCCGACATTATCCGTGCTGCTTTCGGAAATTTCGTTGATTTGTTATGACTCAGCGGCTGCCGTCTCTACACTCGCGCTTCCCGCGCTAGGATAACACATTAATGTTATAAGTTTTGCTTTGCCTGATCCATCATGACCCCCCTATCTAATCAAGTGTGACATACTGCAAATCCACCAAGATATTGATACAGCTTGAAAATCATTTCGTTTTACTTGTGCTCTGCCACATGCAGCCCCGGTGATCGTGCAGAACACACAATCACCAATGACGTCGCGTTGCGGTCACGTCATAAGCAGATTTATTACGTGGCCCCGTTTTCTTTGCCAAGAAAACCTGCCGGGGTGGCATTCCGCGAATACTTCGTGGTCGGTCAACATCTATTGCTCACTCCCTGGTCGATCAATATCTACTGCTCGCTTGACCATTGGTGGGGCATACCCCACTGTTTAACAGGCCCCTGACCGTCAAAACCTGCCGGCCGTGGAAATGTGGTCCGTCCTCGACCGCGACGGCATCCTATGCCTCGTCTCGGTTGCCGCGTTGTGGAATCGGCTCCCCGGTTTGAACAGGATCCCGGGAATTGCACTACTCATTAGTGCTTTCAATGACCCCATGCCGCTTTGGAGTTTTTTCTGCGGCTATGGAGCGTGGGCACGCCGGTCTTGCCGTTCGGATATTCGCCGCAGGGGGTCCTGCTGCGCCGGATCGCTGTATATTCGATCGTTTGTGCAACGACAGAGTTAATATTGCGGCGCGAGACGGAGTGCTCCATATCATCAAGAGGTTCGTCGCGTTTATCCCTGATCTAATTATTTGCAGGGCTCCGCAAGAGGCGGCCGCGTATCACCAAATTCACGTTCTCAAGTGGCTGTCCGAAGAAGCGCCTTTGGTTTGCTGGAACATTGACACGCCCCGGATTGCTAGCCGTCGGGGACACCTGTCCGTGCTGGTATGGTTCGACTCGAGGTTCCCCTTACAGGCCGACGTGGCGCTCTTGAAAGCCTCTATTCAAGGAAAACATGACTTGACAACGCGTTGGCTATGGATTGTCGCGGTTCGGCGCGATTGGCCCTTGGACATTATGAATGAAGCGGTGTCAATGGCTCCTTTGGAACTAGCACAATACATGGTAGAGCAAGCAGGACCGGGTGTGACGCTGTGTTTGGATTTTGCTGCCTTCGGAGGTGACTTGGAATATATCGCTTGGGCGCACGCTTTGGGCGCTTCGGCTACGACACGTGCCATGGACAATGCGGCTGCTCAGGGTTACACCCCTGTTCTTGAGTTGTTGCATTGTAACCGTGCCGAGGGCTGCACAACCGATGCAATGGATAGCGCGGCGGGAGCGGGGATCCTTGAAGTGCTGCAATTGTGGTGTAGTGGGATCGGCCAAAATCTGGTTAAGGCCTGATCGAGCTTCCCACCAGCGCCCAGACACCGACTAACGGAGGGGGTCCCCCAACGATCCGTGATCGGCTGAACTTGTTCTCACCTTGTGTACCCGTCGGCGGGCAGGATCTGCTCTCTCGGGGCTCCGAAGATGCAGCACTTGGTGAAGATCGAGTGTCTTGGCGTGACGCGGGGATAGTTTGTGGAGCAGCGCGGTAGTCTTCGCTCTGCGTCCGAGTATACGCTCCGATCGAGGGTTGTTCGCTGCGATCGGTCGGCCTGGAGTTGATCCAAGGCCTGTGGTTGCCTTTCCGGGTGTGTTCCTTCCTTTCCTGAGTTGCTTGCCACTTCCTATAGCGGGATCTAGGTTGATCGAGAGGAGAAACGATTGCCGGCCAAGCACTAATACCCGGTCGATCGAGGACTTGCACACAAGAGATAGATCACTAGAGTAGGTCAAGCTGGCCAATGTATTAATCCAGTCTTAACCGTACCGCTAGTTCACTACCCAAAGTGTCGACGCTGCCGAGGCCAATGTAGTTCCTGGGACTTGGTGACTTGATGGGACTTGTGGTCTTCGGTGCAAATTCTGCTCGAGAGCGACTTGCCGGGGCTTGGTGGTCTTGGATCACGCGTGGGGTCAAATCTGTTCTCCACAACGCAGGTCGACCGAGGCCAATATGCTCTTCCTCCTCGAGATTCCAGACCACTTGCGCTCCACGGTGCAAATTCGACTCTGATTTATGTTTAGCTGGTCTGTTCCTAATGCTACCATTTTGCTTACCCTCCTACAACCACACGATTACTGGATTCTTGTCCCGACTTCGTCCTCCATGTGCGTCCCATCCTGGTCGATCCACGATCGGCCCCGATCGGCGACCCCAATCGGCGACCCACGATCGGCGATCCCCGATCGGCTCCTGATCCACGATCGACCCCGATCGGCGATCCACGATCGACGATCGGCGATCAACTCCCGATCGATGACTTTTGCCGGTTGCCATGCGCCGCCGATCCATCACCTTCTGTCCTCGGCCATCCCAGATCCGCGAGTTCTGTCGTCGATCTGGACTTGGGTCGGCTCTGAATCACGCCGCGGTTCGAGCACGATCACCCACAATCCGGCTTGCCACATGTCCTGCCTCACGCGCCGGCGTCATCGGACCACCTGAGATCTCCCGAAGAACTCCTTCTGATCCGTAGATCCTTGCGGCCTGTCTCTCGATCGCCGATCTCCCACGCCTCCAGTCGATCGGCCCTGCCGCCTTTCTCGGAGAACAATTCTTATTCAGCACTTCTCCACATCCGCCCCCTGACCGTAAGTTGTGTCGCACGGCGGCTCACTTCGGACAGTTCGACCTTGGTCATTCTCCAATTCGCCGGTCCAAGTGCAGATTACTCCAGATGGGCACACCGCCGACCAACCCCCCGGCGCATCCGCCCAGTCCGTCGGGCGACGGCGGTTCGACACACGGCTCGCCCCGGTCGACTCATTCGACCCCTCGATCGACGCGATCGACGGCCTCCCGTCATGCCGCGGCTTCTTCCGACGCTGCCCGCCGAATCGCCCGCCTAGAAGATGAGCTGGCATGCGCCTACGCTTCCCGATCGACTATGATCCGCGACCGGGCGCGCCAGGACGACACCGTGCGCGAGCTGACTGCGAACCTGCACGACTTGGAGCGCCACCGCTGGGCGCAAGAGGAAGAAATCCGGCGTCTTCAGACGGAAGTCAGCGACCTTCAACAGAGTACCCAGGGTCAGGGTCCGCAGCTGATCCAAGGCCTCCGGGATCAGATAGCCCTGCAAGCCGCCGAGATCCAGGATCTGGATCGCCAACTGACACGCACTCAGGCGCATCTCGCGACTGCTAACGCCGATCGTGATCGACTGGACCACCAGCTCGATATCGCCGCGGCGGACATTTCGGATCTCCGATCGCAGGTTTCTGGGCAAGAGCGCGAGCTGGAAGAGGTGAACCACGAGCTGGACCTTACACGCGGTAGCCTCGATCGGGTCCAGACTGCCCTTCGGATAGCCGAAACAGCCGCGGCCACTCCGGCCGCTCCAACCCCGACGCCTCCCACCGGACCCACGCCCGACGTCGATCGACTGCAGGTTGCCCTCCGCCAGGTGAATGGGGAGCTGGATCGGATGCGTACCGCCCGAGATACCGCGAGAGACCAAGCCACTGCTGCCGTGAAAGACGTCGATCAAGCTCATCAGGACCGCGACGTTGCGCTCCGAGAGAACGCCGATCTCCGTACGTAAACTTTCCGTGCCGCCTATTCCGTTGTCGATCGCCGCTCATGCCGTCGCTGTGTTACAGGATCGTGTCTCGAAAGCGTGCAACAAGTGATCCGTGCCCAAGACGCCCAATTCATTGACGTCCAGGACGCCTACGCTATGTTGCGGCGCGTCAGCGATCGATCCAACGAGGATCTCGAGAGTGTGGCCGACGCCTTATCTCGCGTAGTTCGGTGGATTGGACTTCGCCAGTGCGCGCCGACCACGCCTGTCCGTCGTAGCCGCAGTCGTTCCGGATCTCCGGACTCCGTCGGGCACATCCACAAACGTGTCCGATCGGCGCCTCCACCACGCAGTCGGTCTACGAGCCGATCGCCCGCTCGGTCTCTCTCACCTTCCTTTTCGTTACCCGGCCATGACGATGAACTCCCTGCTGGGGGTCAGCCTGCCGAAGCAACCCGCAAAGAAGGTGCCTGCTGCAGATCAACCGCCTTCCGATCTGAACGATCAAGAGGGATCGGACGAAGAAGAATCAGGTTCGCCCCCTCGATCTACGCAGGAAGACCGGTCGGAAGAGGAGGAGTCGTCTCCTGCCCGACGAGGCAAATTCCGAATCGGAGGGGCCCGATCAAGAGACCGACGAAGAAGAAGACGAGTCGGAGGGGTCTGATCAGGAAGCTCTTGCAGCCTTAGCTCGATCCCGATCGGAGGCTCGCCGCCGTCAATCTGCCTCGCCGGCCCGTACCCACACTTCGCCGGCTCGCTCGCGATCGCGATCGCCCTCGGTCGTGTCGATCCACTACCAATCTGGATCGGCTCGCTCCCAATCGTCCCACGGAACGCGTCAGTCCCGTCATGGCTCACCTGGACCGACGCCTCCCCGCCTGGTTGTCCACCTGGATCGCCGCCGCCCGGTTCTCCGCCTGGATCGCCGGGGCGTCGTCCTCTGGTCCCGCCGTTGTTCCCGATCGGTACCATGATCCCGGGTTTCAACGCCCCCAGGGCACTCGCTCAGACGGATACAGACCCCTGGCCTTCGATCCTGCTGGGACAGCTACAGATCATCGGCATGATCCTGTCGACGCTGACCCACCATCTCCTCCTACCCGGGGGCTGGCTCTTT